AAAAAGGTCAATTTCACAAATTGACAGGAAATACAAAGTTGAAAATTATCCTAGGATTTTAGAGACACATCTATGACAATTGTGTTATTCCTATAAATGAAAAGGTAATTGGTAGTAAAATTTTTGGTCATTTTGTTTTTTTGAGGCAGAGTCTCACATGGTAGCCCAGGCTGACCTTTAATTCACGGCAATTGTCCTGCCTCAGTCTCATGGAGGCAATAATTACAAGTGTGAGCTATGATGTCCAGATCATGTCCTAAATAAACCTTTGATGTACTGCTTTGAAATATCTGTGAAATTGACAGACTTTGATTTTTAAACACAAATCACACAACAAACTAAACTTACTGATGATGAACTGTATATTTTTCCACCAGAAATGTAAACTGGGTGAAAGGGTTAAAAGGAAATGAAAATGGGGGTTTATAACTTCAAAAACAAAGCATATTTCAACAAAGGCTAAGTAGGAGTGGATCTGCTTTCCCACTGGCAGTTTTTTGGTTCACTTGTAGATTCTTGCAAGCTCCTCCTTTTAACGTTTTAGTCCCTGAGAAATTCAAGTGAGTATATTTGGCTAAAGCCCGAATAAGAAGTGTCCTTTCTTCTCTTTCTTTCTTTCTTTCTTTCTTTCTTTCTTTCTTTCTTTCTTTCTTTCTTTCTTTCTTTTTTTTGGTTTGTTTGTTTTATTTTGTTTTTCAAGAGAGGGTTTCTCTGTATTGTTTTGGAGCCTCTCCTGGAACTCTCTCTGTAGACCAGGCTGATCTCGAACTCACAGAGATCCATCTGCCTCTGCCTCCCAAGTGCTGGGATTAAAGCGTGAGCTAACAATGCCGGCCAAGTGTCCTTTCTTTATGTAGAACATTTTCAGAATTTAGGTGGAACTTGTGGCTTAGCCTGTGACTCAGCAATGGGAGAAACTCTACTCTATACTGTGGTCCTGCAGAGGCCCTAAGGCTTGACATTAAGAACCCCCACTGCTCCTAATTTTTGGCTCAAATTTGCTATGTATCCAAGGATGAACTTGTGTTCCTCATCTTCCTGCCTCCACTTTCCAAGTGCTTGGAGGAAAGGTCTGTACCACATATGGCTCAGGCCAAGGAAATTTTAAAAAAAATTTAGGAGACTAGCTGGGCGGTGGTGGCGCACGCCTTTAATCCCAGCACTCGGGAGGCAGAGGCAGGTGGATCTCTGTGAGTTCGAGGCCGGGCTGGACTGACAGCCTCCAAAACAATACAGAGAAACCCTGTCTCGTAAAAACCAAAAAAAAAAAAAAAATTTAGGAGACTAAAACATTCAACATAATTGATCAAAGTTAGTAGCTCAGAAGGTTTTAAACTGAGTGAAGTAGAGAGAAATGAAAACAAGCAAACCAAAATGGCAATAACTGGGCCTTGGTTCAGGTTGAGAAAGCAAGATTAAGGCACTGCTTACATTTTGAGCACCACTACCTTTTCCCTCTTGTCTCTAATAAGAATAATGTTTACAGGACTGGAGAAATGGCCCCTTAAGCAGTTAAGTGTGCTGACTATTCTTTCAGAGGACCTGGGTTTAGTTCCCAGTACTCACATGGCCCCTTATAACTGTCTGTAATTCCAGTTCCTGGAAATCCAATGCCCTCGTCTGGGCTCTGTGGGCACTAGGTTCCCATGTGGTACATAGACATACATGCAGGTAAAAACACTTATATACATAAAATAAAAAATTTTAAAGTAACATTTATATCATGGTCATTAACACCATATCACACAAAAACCCTGACATTAAACCAGGCTCCCCTAGAAACTGACCTTAGACAAAATGAAGTCAGGATTCCTCTGAGATCACATTTGAATGCCTAGTGTCTAACACAAGTATGGAGGAAGAAAGAGCTTTCACATCTTATAGGCTTAGATGAAACACAAGGAAATATTGCCACGAGGCTCCGGCTTAATGATAATGATCTGGTCCAATGAGACCGGGTGAGACAGAGAGAAAATTCCAACTACATGTGGCGCCCAAAGTGAGGCTCTCAGGGCTCCACATAAGATCTGAGAAAGCTTAAAGACAATTTAAGGATAATAAACTGAGGTCCTTAGAGGAGAAATAGAGTAATAAAAAATTACAACAAGAAATGTAAAGATGGAAAGTGCATGCAGAGTCTGGATTATATATATTACTGTGTTTTCTTTAAATTTTTTGGCTGTTAATGAGATAACTATAGAGTGACATTTCATTGTGGGGATTGCTAAGCTAAACCCATATGTTAGCCTATGGACATGTTACTTTAAAAGAGGCTCTGTTTTTGTTTCACAGAAGATAAAAAGCTATGGACTCCTTCCAGGCTAATATGGTTTGATTGAACAAGATCACCTGGAACAGCTTCAAGACAACTGCCTGAGATGACTGCAGCCTCACAGACTACTACAGCCAAAATCTAACCATAATTCTGAATTTTCTCAGGACCTCCATAAGATTAACAGCACCTCCAATCAGCCTAGAGAACTATGTCCAAATTTCCAAAATATGATTTATAAAGGTTTGTTTTCATCTAAGAGGGGTTGATTATATATAGTTGATGGTCACAGTCAATCTCTAAAAAAAAAAGTGGGGGATATGATATAGAAATGAATAATTTACATTAGTATGGATTTTTGGTTTATTGATACAAATTTAAGATCGATTTTGTTAAACTGTATATATTTCTACTCTTGTTTAAGGTATTATGTTTATGCTGTTAATTTAAAAATATAATATATAACTAAGAAATACACATTAATAGATAGTCATCTATAATAGTCAAACTTACAGTAATGCTAGGTTTTCTAGCTATACAGAGATATAGTTCAGATCGATAGATAATCTTCAACACTTCAAACACCTGCAGAATATGGCATTTAAAACGTTTTAAGAACTTAGACTTTTCTCAACAGTGAGACACAACTGCTCCTGGCAACACCAATTACTTCAGAGAGGAAGATGGGCAATGAAGAACTCATTATGGAGTTTGCTTTCAGTGTGGCTAGCCACTTGGTCAAGAAACGTCTCTTGCCTGAACTGCTTGACAGTATGTTGTATGAACTGGGCATACAGGACCCACAGGAGAGTGACTGCTAAACTTGCCAAGCTAAGACAGGATGGTCCTTCAGAGTTCCTGCTTCACAAAGGAAACTGCCAGACATTTTGCAGAACACAGAAGAAAGCAACTGATCAACTTTGTCAGTATAAGGTAGAACAGATCTTCAAATTTCCTGCTTCACTAAGAAGTCTGCCAGATACTCTAGGTCTGCAGGCTAAAAATGGATGTCCCAATATCACAGAGGAACTTTGGGTGACTGTCCAGGCAGCCAGCTGTCTCTGTCATTTCTAGAATTTTGGAAACTGCTTGCAATGTACTTCTTGTTTACTTTGGTAATATTACAACCTTCTGGGGTCTTTAATGGAGTTGAAGACAGATAGTTAAAGTTTTCCTTAGTTATGATAAAAGATAAGTTAGATATAAAACTTTAGACTCACAAAGATAGGATAGATGATAGAGTATTTTTAAAAAATTTGCCAAATGCAAATAGACTAAATATTGTAACTGTAATTTAATGTCTGAGCCATTGCCCAAACAATTGTAATTGATATTAAGCCTCAGAGTGCTATTTCATAAGCAGGTGTGGGGACCTGGCGGGCAGGAGAGAAACTGGTCCAGTGGGACCGGGTGAGACAGAGAAAAAATTCCAACTACAGGAATCAGGTTGTCAGGCTGGGCAGCAAGTGTCCTTATCCACTGAGCCATCTCCCCAGCCCCAGAGCTGTCTTGAATAATGTTATTCTAGAATGTTTTTCTTTCCAAATGATGGATGAGAAGCCAAGAGAACAATAATAATGCCAAGCACCACGCCAGAACTGATTTTAAGAGTCTTGATTAAGACTGGTGGCTGCCTTCCCCACAGTCCACAGGAGCACTGCTATGAGCAGCCCCGTGGCACATCAGGATAGAGCAGTCTTACATTCTTTTTTTTTTTCTTTTTCAGTCCCACACTACCACAAATTATGCAGTCGAGTTTCCCGCATTTGAGGAAATCGCAGGGGTCAGCACACCCCAAGTGCAATGGGTGGGCCTCGCCCTGGGAAAACCACCTACGTGATCATGGTATCTACCCTGCATTCTGACACAGGATATAAGTTGCCTGGCAGATGCCAGGGAAAGGCAATGCACCATTTTCAAAGGAAACTGTATTGACTTGACATTTACCTGAAATTTTAAAAGTACCTCCCCCAAACCAGCCACACAGCCTCACTGTAATTTCAAGGCTCCCCAGATTAGCACTGTTCCACAAGGCTGACTAGGCATTGCAACAACTATTAAGGACTTTTGAATTAAAACCTTGCAGTCTGAGTATGTATCACAACAATCATTACCGTGCCATAAAACAGTATGTCAAAATTTTATTCAGCTGGGCATGGTGGCATACACCTTTAATCCCAGCACTTGAAGGGCAAAGTTCCCGGCCAGCTGGGCCTATCTAGAGACTGATAGGCTGTCACTGGATAGCCCAGGCTGGCCTGGAATTAGCTATGTAACCTAGATTTGCCCTTAACTTGTGATCCTCCTGTCTATATCCCCTAAGTGCTACAAATACAGCTGTGTGCTATAACATTTGGTTTGCCATTCTTTAAAATTATTTTTCCTTTAAACACATATACAATAAATGAATGTTTATGGATGTCACTAAAAACAAAACCACAAAAAATTCTGTTTTTTTTCTTTTCTTCAAGACTGGGCTTCTCTGTGAAATAGTCCTGAAACTCACTCTGTAGATTAGGCTGTCCTCAAACTCACAGAGATCTGTCTGCCTCTGCCTCCCAAGTGCTGGGACTAAAGGCGTGCACCACCACTGCCTAGCCCTCAGAAAGATTCTTAAAGATTTGGAGGATGTAGCTCGGTGGTAAAACCTTGTCTAGCACACACAAGGCACTGGTTTTTACCCCTCATACATCAGAAGGAAAAAAGAAGGAACGGACTCCAAACTTACCTAAAGGCTTACTCTCTGCTGTTTGCTCAAGCTCCCTGAACGCACTGTATTTGTCACCAGACTCTACGACAGAGAGACAGAAACTCATTACCGTGAGGAACCCAGCCATCAGCCAGAGAAGCACAGCAGATTGGGCTGAGCAAATACATTTAACATGTGGAACAGCACCTGATACAGTCAATAAAAAACCTGCTGTGTAAAGATTTATACAACTTAATTAAAAATTAGGGCCACAGATTTATCAACTGACAAACTGCTTTTACCTCCAAACGAAGCAGGGTTTTCAGGGGGCTTGTCAGCAGAGATTCCTTTAAACACTGAGTATTTATCTGTGGAGGCTTTAGTTCCAGGAAGTGGTATCAGCAGTGACGGAGCACTACAAGGAAGGAGGAAACGTACGTTATTGATCAGACCAAAGAATCCTCCTTCATTAGCACTGAGGACACAGCTAGAGGTCACGGTTCTCTGCCCTTCCCCTCTTTCTGTACAGGGATTCCCCGTGTAGCCTGCCTGGCTTGAAACTCATCCTGTAGACCAGGCTGGCTTCAAACTAGGAGATCCACCTGCCTCTGCCTCCTAAATCTGGGATTAAAGGTGTACACCACCACCACCTGGCTCCCTTTCATTTTTCATTTTTCCTTCTGGTTTTTCAAGACAGGGTTTCTCTGTAGCTTTGGAGCCTGTCCTGGAACTCACTCTGTAGGCCAGGCTAGCCTCAAGCTCACAGAGATCTGCCTGTCTCTGCCTCCCAAGTGCTAGGATTAAAGGTGTGCACCAACACTGCCCAGCCTCCCTTTCTTTTAAAAATTTTTTTAAAAAATTACTTCTGTGTGTCAGGCATACACCTTCAATTCAATAATTCAGTAGGTAGAGGCAGGCAGATCTCTGTGAGTTCAAGGCCAGCTTCGTCTGCATAGTGAATTTCAGGACATCCAGAGCTACATAGTGAGACCCTGTTTCAAAACAAACAAAATGTGTATGCCAGTTGGGCAGTGATGGCACAAGTCTTTAATCCCAGCATTCAGGAAGCAGAGGCAGGTGGATTCTCTGTGAGTTTGAGGCCAGCCTGGTCTACAGAGTGAGTTCCATACAGCCAGGGCTGTTACACAGAGAAACCCCGTTTCGAAAAACCTAAATAAAGAAAATGTATGTCTGTGTGTATGCCATATGTATTCAGATACACCTAGAGATTGGAAGAGGGCATTGGCTCCCTAGGAGCTGTCGTTACTGTAGAAGTGAGGTGCCTGACGTGGGTGCTGGGAATGGAACTTATCCAGGTGTTAGCTGTATTCATTCTGTGGGGCATAGAGACTGCCCGGGAAAGAACGCAGACAGAAACACAGTGGGAGCTAAGGAAAACAACAAACAAACATCAAAATGCTTTACTGAAGCAGGCTGACATCTGGGGGATAAGAGGGGAAACAGTTGAGCATCCCAGGGGTGGGGACTCAAGGTTAGGCAATTTGTAAGCCCCCATCTTTCTGTTTTCATCTCCTTTTACCCAGATGTTTGCCCCCCTCTTCCCGCAGGCAGGCCTTTTCTTCTCCACTGCCTTTCCCAAGAGAAAGGGAATGTTCTCCCAACTCTCCCTCACTATGGAAGAGCAGCAAGTGCTCTTAACTGCAGACCTTCCTACCATTAAAAAACAAACAAAACCCCCAAAACAGCTGCTGGCAGTTCAGTGGATAAAGGTCCCATGCCAGGATCTACATGGTGGAAGGAGAGAGCTGGCCCCGGAAACAGTCCTTAGACCTTCCCATGCGTGCCGGGGCACATACGTGCCCACTGCCACTTCACAAACACTAAAGAATGGAAGATGTTTTTAAAAGGAGAGAGACAGGGTCTCACATTTCCTTCATGTAGTTGAGGAAGATACCAAGCTCCTGACCAGCTTGCCTCTACCTCCTGAATGCTAGGACTACATGGCTTTCTGCTTTAAAAGTTAGAAACTACATATAAACTCTACAAACGATGTCCCTTTTCTTGAAAATAAATATTAACACTAAAGTAATAATTGTCTGACTGAGGAGGGGTGACATCTACACTAATGGTATCTAAGCATTTGTTTAAGCCATAAAGGCACTGAAAATAGATCATTAAAGAATGACAGCCTCCTGCCATTTTAACTTACAGTTCACAATAATTTAATAGTGAATTCCACCAAACATGTATATCTAATATTTAAAGATAAATTACAAACTAAGACTTCTCTTAAATGGGTTCAGGCTGTAAAAGTCTATTTCTAAAATGCTGTTCAAGCCAAGATGTAAATTCTGCTTTTGATCATTGTGCAGAAGTGCAGACATCTGATAAGCAACCACAGAGGTAAGAGAATGCACATTTTTACAGGGATCACACGCGTGGTCCCAGAGAGCTATCTTTGTAGAATAACAACAATCTCTTCAAAATTAGACTGAAGATAGTTTTATCTGTGGACATATTTTTTTTCTTTCTGGTTGGAAAAACAGTGTAATGAGTAACATCTGCGTGGGTGACTCTTGGAAAGCTTAAACACACTATAGGAGCCTTGCTTCTTTTCTCTTATCAGACCCAGGCAGTTCCCTGGAAGAACAACCTTTACATATGAATGGCTGCATTTCACCACCAGCTGGTGTCAGTCAATACCACAGCACAAGACACAGAAATGGATTTCTATTGAGGTCTCTGCCCTGGAGCAAAAGCCTTTCCACAGTCATTTAAATCTTCTTATCAGTGGTCCACAACCAACTCAGGAACCAGGCTGTCCTGCATGCATGGTAATGGGGTCCACCGTGTTTCAAGACTGACAGGCATTGAATATTAAAATTTCACATCCCTGCCACACAGCTGCTGCTATCTGATCTTGACAAATGTAATAGCTTATCATCTATACATGTAGGTGGATGCTTTTACAATGCCATAAATAATTAAACTATAGCTCATTGACCAGAATGTGCATAGTAATACAGGTAATTGGTGTTTAAGGACAAAAAGCCCAGGAAGCTGGATGGTCTGCCTGCTTTTTGGAACCCTCCAATTTTAGCTATGGTCTTTTTAAAGCTCAGTGGCAAAATCTTTCTACTAAATGCGACATTTAATTGAATGTAATTAATTTTAAAATTATATTCACAGGACTGGACAAAAAGAGACTCTGCAGGGTAATGAAATAGTGCTGATGGAAATCAACAGAATTCAGTTCCCTTGCAGAAAGTTGACACACACTAATTATATGCACACCACAAATCAGTGCTCCATTCCAGTCCCTTCTCTGGAGCTATTATTTTTTAAAAGAAGGCTGTAATCAGCATCAGAGTGTTTATGGCAGTTATATATAGCAGTTATTATCTGTTTTATACATGAAAACAGTCATTTCTGTTCCTTAAGGGAAGTACTCAAGTGAGAGGGCCACATTGTTTTAAAACGTAAGAATCTGCAACACATTTGTTTCCCTCCAGAGAAGCTACTTCCATAGGGCTGTGGCAGATGTTAAGAATAAGAGACCACCATTCCGGCCCAAGTGTCTGGATAAGGCAAAGTCACTCTTGATCACGAAGAGCAAATACACAGACCGGAAGTACCATTTGGTTTTTATTCTAACTTGGGTGGTGACTGTGTCTTCTCCTTAATGGTTGGGGTCTGACCTCACAGTCTTAATTTAATTGACTTTGTCTGTAAAGAATTGGTGCTGCAGGCGTTGGTGGCGCATGCCTTTAATCTCAGCACTCGAGGCAGAGGCAGGCGGATCTCTGTGAGTTTGAGACCAGCTTGGTCTACAAAGTGAGTTCCAGGACAGCCTCTAAAACAATACAGAGAAACCCTGTCTCGAAAAACAAAAAACAACACACACACAAAAAAAAAACAACAAAAAAAGAATTGGTGCTAGAAAGGAAATGAAGGAAGGGGAGCAGGGTCACTGCTCCAGGCTTTCAGATTCCTGACTAGAGGAGCGGACCTTTGCATAAACAAACGTTGTACTAGGTGGGGGTGGTGGTGGTGGGGGGGTGATTTTAAAACATTTTCATCCAAGTTTTACAGGGGGGTAAAAAGAGTTGAATTCCTTGTCCCAAATACAAGTTTTCTAGTATGTGATAGAAAAGACTCCTATTTGAGATTTCTTACACAGACATTTTCTCATTCTGCTAAATATAAATATCTATAAAGAAATGCTTAAGAGTAGAGTGTAGTGGTGTATATCTTTAATCCCAGCACTTGAGAGGCAGAGACAGGCAGATCTCTGTGAGTTTGAGACCAGTTTGGTCTATTTAGCAAGTTTCAGGTCAGCCAGGGTTATGTAATACAGAGACCCTGTTTCAACAAACAACTCACAAAAAACATAAACAAAAACAAAGAACTGACTTAGTTCTCAGCAAAATGAAACAAATGAACCAGACCCCAGGGTCCTGGTGCTTCAAGTTTGTAACAACTTTCTATCTCAGAACCCCATCTATGGACTGGCTCCCAGGTCACTCCACCCGAGTATGTTGTTGCTTTCAGGCCTGGGATGCTCTCTCTTCCTTGACATCAGAGCTGTGTCAGGGACACAGTGCTTCAAATGCTGCAGCTCTCTGCGCAGCAAAAGCCCTTCTTGAAGCCGTTTCTTATTCTGAAGATATGGCACAGGTTAGACCATAGATCCCAGGCTCCCGACCACAGGGCTGCCCTTAACTGCTGTGTTCTCACCAACTAACACAGCTCTTTGTCAGGCACGCTGCTCTGCTGGGCAAAGCTTCTCCATTCTGGCTAACACAGCAGTTGCAGGAACTGCAGTAATTTGGCTCTCAGAACTAAAGCAAATTATTTTTCTAGATTCTTGTTCTCTCCACCCTGTCAACCCTCCTGTAATTGTGGCCACAGATATGGTTATGGGTTGCCTAACATTCTCTCACACACCAAGCACCTATTTCCTTAGCTATCCCTAACAACAGTACCCAAAAGGCAAATTCAGTCCCCTTATACCTCTCCCTTTCTGCCCCATAACTGCTCAGCCTGTACGTAGTGGTAGGCTCTCTGGTTTCTTGACTAGAGAGCTCCCCTCCACAGGTCTCTTCCTGAATAAAGCTTTAGTCATTTGTTCCCTTGTCTGTCTTTCCTTCTCTGATGTAACACTTTCCACCACAGTCTACCTCTAAACCCTTGTTTTGTCATCTTTTCTGACAAATAATGTCCATTTTCTGCTTTCAGACACTGATCAAGGTGGATTCTCTAGGCTTATTTATTATGATTCAACAGGCTGCTTTTAAAATAAATTCACAATACATAATATGGATTATCATACTCTAGAGAATTCACATACAGATGTCTGCTATATGATCAGCATAGTATTCGCCTGTAACCCCTTTGTACCCTCTGAACATCTGTAATCAGTTTCCTAGTTAGTTACAGTACCTAGCATTGTACAGGATGTGCACATAGTCAGTGTGCAGTACTGTCTAGAGATAAAGATGCCAGACTTGGTGCATTTAAGTAGATACACAATATTCTTCTGAATTTTCCAATTTCAGCTGTCTGCAGCTGCAGATTCCACAGACATGCAATTCAGACTGAGCCATGAGGGCTTTAAAGGTTAGGCACCCTGATGAAACAGCTTCCATGCAGCAGCAATTGGGAACTTTGGTCTCTGTTTCTTGTGTTTTTCCCCATTGTCTGCTACATATGCTGAATTTGCACATATGCACAAGTATAGACTTTTAAGACAAGAGATAAATATTTCATTCAAGGAAAACATGGCACTGGGTAGTGGTGGCCTATGCCTTTAATCCTAGCGCTTGGGAGGCAGAGGCAGTCAGATCTCTGTGAGTTCCAGGCCAGCCTGGTCTACAAGAGTGTGTTCCAGGACAGCCTCCAAAGCCACAGAGAAACCCTGTCTCCACACCTGCAACCCTACAAAAGGAAAACATGGAGGTGTGAAATGAAAGCTGTAAAAGGCACATGTGCAGCTGTATACGAAGGTAAATGACATGAAAACAATGTAGCAAACAATGCCAACAGCAGCTGGGTATGGTGGGTATGGTGGTCCTTAGCACTTTCAAGAGGTAGAGGCACAAGGAGAGTTATGAGTTTGAGGTTGACCTGGTTTACCCAGTAAGTTCTAGGCCTGCCAGGACAATATAGTAAAAACACTTTTTCAAAAAATAAAAAAAGCAAAACAAACAAACAAAACAACTAGATTACTCAATTATTAAGAACACTTCCTGCTTTTCCAGTGCACCCAACTTCAGTTCCTAGCTCCAATGTCAAGCAGCTCACAACTGCCTTTAACTCAGCGCCAGGGAAATCTAATGCCCTCTTCAGGCCTCCTTGGGCACCTGCACACATGTGACATACAGTCACACACACACATTAAAAAACAAGAAAAACAGCAACAACAAACCAACCAAACAGCCGATAAACAAAGAAAAACCCCAAAATAAAAAATAAAAACCTATCAAAAGCCCATACATCTCAGGCCTGACTATCATTTTAAAACTTTTACCCACAAATTTTGACTTAATATACTAAAAGGCCTTTCCCTGAGGGAATGTGCCACCCACTTGATGAACTCGGTTTATAGTTCACCTACAATAATATAGTCATCTAACAATTATATGGCTAAGCACTACTGGGGTGAAACATGGGAATATAGGCCATTACAATTAGAGTACAATTAGGAGAAAAGGAGGAATGCTAACTCATCTCAGAGGCATGGGCTGCTGGAAGAGTTAGAAAATGTCTTTTTTTTGAATTTTTAGATAGGTTTCTCTATGTAGTCCTAGTTGCCCTGGAACTCACTCTGAAGACCAGACTGACTTCGAACTCAGGAACTGCCTGCCTCTGCCTCCTGAGTGCTGGGACTAAAGGCGTGCATCATCACCACCTGACTTGAAATAACTTTTCACTTAACTTGAGAGACCAATAAGGTGAGGTTTTCCAGGTTGAGGGACAGAGAAAGTACAAATGGCAGGAAGCTTAAAAGGGAATAGTGAGAAGCAAGTCTCTCTGACAGGTTGGAGTGTGGACTACATGAAAATGGACTGTTTTTCCACACCAGGCAAAGGCAGAGAGAGAGAGAGAGAGAGAGAGAGAGAGAGAGAGAGACAGAGACAGAGACAGAGACAGAGACAGAGACAGAGAGACAGAGAGAGAGAGAGAGAGAGAGAGAGAGAGAGAGAGAGAGAGAGAGAGAGAGAGAGAGAGAGAGAGAGGACACACACTGGTGTTTGGGTGTGGTGATATCATGGACCAAGGACCAAAGAAAATTAGTAATGGTGATGCTACAAATACAAGTCTCTCAGTAGGAAATTAACTTAATTCTATGCAGTAAATTTGAGATGTCTTGCCTGAGTCATTAAGATAGGAGCACCCAGATTGTATGTGTAAAGTTTATTTGAAGGAAGAGATCTGGATAGACATGTGATGTAATGCTTTGTCTAGGAGATGTGTGATGCAATGCTGGCATTACAGTAGTAGACACTACATGTTGCTTACATATGTTTGGTATATATTTCTGTTGTTTTTTGAGACAGGGACTCACATGGTAGCCCAGACCGGCTTTTTACTCATGGCATGTCTCCTCCTCAGCTTCTTAAGTGTTGGGATTACAAGTGTGAGCCACCATATCCAACTGTGTATGATATATTCTTTTTATTTATTTTTTTAAAGATATGGTTTCTCTATGTACACCAGGCTGTCCTGGAACTCACAGAGATCCACCTCCCTCTGCCTCCTGAGTGCTGAGATGAAAGCATGTGCCACCACTGCCCAGCTTGTATGATATATTCTTTTTTTTTTCTTCCCTGAGACAGGGTTTCTCTGTGTAACAGCCTTGACTGTCCTGGAACTCACTCTGTAGACCAGGCTGGCTTGGAACTCACAGAGATCCACCTACTTCTGCCTCCCAAGTGCTGGAATTAAAGGCATGCACCACCATGAACTGGCATATGATATATTCTTATACTCAGAAGAACAATTTCTGTTCCTGATCTGAAAAATCCTCTATCATGCCTATTTTTAGTTATTTTGTTATTCAGGGAGGGCTGACTAGTTAAAATGGTACCAACTATACAAACAGGAACATAAAAGAAACAAAGATGTGTTCTGTATAACAGAAACCATCCCTTCTGTGTATTCTGCCTGGTATCCTAATCATAGAGAAAGTATGGGAAGAAAGGACAAATACTGACTGAACCAATAACCATGTCTAAAGCAATGGTTCTCGACTTGTAGGTTGCAACCCCTTTGTTGGGAGCTAGTAACCCTTTCACAGGGGTTACTTAAGAACACTGGAAAACAGATATTTACATTACAGGTCATAACAGTAGCAAAATCACAGTCATGAAGTAGTAATGAACATAATTTTATGGCTGGGGGTCACCACAACATGAGGAACTGTATTAAAGGGTTACAGCATTGGGAAGGTGGAAAACTACTGCTCTAGAGAAAAACCTAAGTTAAATGTTTGTTTATCTGTATGCAAACAAGCAGAAATCTGAAGGTCAAAAGCCACTGATGGGAAACAATGACAAATGAATTATTAAAGTTCAGAGCCCTGAATTATGATTTTCATGGAAAATCAGGAGCACAGTATACTACTAAAAATATAAAATTACATATTCCTGCTTCAAACTTTTCTTACTTTTTTTTTTGGCTTTTTTTGAGACAGGGTTTCTCTGTATTGTTTTGGAGGTTGTCCTGGAACTCGCTCTGTAACAAACTTTTTTCAACAGCTGAAGACTTGATTTAATGACGGAATTCAAAGCCTTGTGGTACAAGCACTCAGCTGTCACAAGTCAGGTTGTTATTGTTCTCTCTCTCTCTCTCTCTCTCTCTCTCTCTCTCTCTCTCTCTCTCTCTCTCTCTCTCTCTCCCTCCCTCCCTCCCTCCCTCCCTCCCATTCTTCCTTTCTTTCCTCCCTCCCTTCCACCCTTCTTTCCTCTCCCCTGACTCTTTCTTTCCTCCTTTTTAGACAGGTTTTCTCTATGTAGCCCTGGCTGTCCTGAAACTCACTAAGTAAACCAGGCTGGCCTTGAACTCACAAAGATCCACCTGACTTTGCCTCCCTTAAAGGGGTGCATCACCACACCCTGCCCCACAAATCAGGCTTAAAGACAAATATGACAAGCAAGTGTACACTGGAAGGAAGGGGAGGAGACAAAGTGTGATAGAATATTTCTTTACACTGTGTGAAGGTATGTCATTGTGACTGGCAGGATTTCCAGGCATAGCAGATGCTGGGAAGAAGGATGGAGTCAAGCAGCATGGGTAGTACAAAGTAAAGGTAACCAAGCCACGTAAAAGAATGGAGATTAAAAGATATGGGTTAGTTTAAGGTATAAGAACTGGTTAGAGACAAGCCTAAGCTGTTGGCTAAGCTTTCATAATTAGTAAGAAGTTTCCGTGTCATGATTTGGGAGCTGGCTGGTGGGACAGAGAAAGACTCGTTACACCAAAGGTCAAGTGGACAGCAGAGCACAGCAGCGGAGAATAAAAGTATGAAGGCAGAGGATGGCCCAGGCCCATGAGAGGAATAGGGACATAACTGCTCTTTGGATGCCCTTCCCCGAATGGTAAAGTGCAATGTTAAATATATTCAACTCTTTTCTACCTGTTTCCATGCTGGGAGTTACTTGTTTTTGAGGAAGCAGGCACCTCTTGGAAGTCAGTGAAAGAATCATCTAGGGATCCTGACTTGGAAGCATCTTGAAAATCTTGGAAGTCATCTTCTTCTGTCTTTACCACCTAGATTACAAAGTGTCTTAGAGTTAGGGATACTATTGCTGTGATGAAACACCATGACCAAAGCAGCTTAGGCAGAAAAGGGTTTATTTGACTTACACTTTCATATCACTGTTCATCATTGAAGGAAGTCAGGACAGGAACTCAAACAGGGCAGGAACCTAGAGGCAGGAGGCCATGGAGGGGAGCTGCTTACTGGCTTGCTTCACATAGCTTGTTCAACCTGCTTTCTTATAGCATCCAGGACCACCTGCACAGGGATGGCACCACCCACAATGGGCTGGGCCTCCCCATCAATCACTAATGTCCTATAACCAACTCTTACCGGAGCATTTTCTAAATTGGGGCCTTTCAGATAGTTCTAGTTTGTGTCAAACTGACATAAAACTAGCCAGTACAGAAGGGATATTTACCTAGGGAACACAAGACTGCCAAAGCAAATAACTGCTCTCCAAGCAGCAATCTCAGAGACTCTTACTTAATTGCTCAATTAAGTTACAACTGCCTTATTTCATAATTGAGTGTGTGTGTGTGTGTGTGTGTGTGTGTGTGTGTGTGTGTGTGTACACATGACTGTGCTGGAGGCAAACACAGAGTCTTGTGCACATTAGGCAAGCACTACCACTGAGCATAAAGTGCTTAAGGCAAGAATTCTGTTTCATAGTTTAAAGTATTCTCTGGTATAAATGTAAAGAGACTGGCCTAAATAGCTAACCTCTGAGTATTTTTAAAGTAGTTGGATGACATTTGTTGGGTTGCTGATAGCAAACCAATACTGACAGCAATGTTTGTGAACAGACACGCCATGATTGCCTCACACCCAGTCATACACATGCATAAAGCAACCACAGGCTCCTAGGCTAACACCCAGAGCAGCAGCAGACTGTTCATGGTCCATTTGCTTTATGGAACAAGCTCACACTGCACTGTTCAGTACTTAAAAAATGGAATTATGCAACAGGACCATCCTTCCATGCCATAAATGCAGATCTATTTTGTTAATTTTAGCGATTACATCCACTGTATGGAGAAACTGAAACCCAGTGAACATTTTCTTTATGATGAGCAGTATGTTTTATCTAACGAGAAGGGTTACTGCTGGCATCATGTCCATCTATGCTAACCTCAGTTACTATCTCTGAAGACATGGGTGTGTTTTCAAACAGTTGTACCAACAGACCTGAAGGATTAGTCACTTTCCTTACATGTTCACTGAATTTAAATATCTACACATTAAAAATATTGGTGTGCTAATTTAAGAAGTGAAACTTTTAAATCTTTTTTTTTTTTTTGAGACAGGATCTCACCACATATACCAGCTGGTTTTGTGTGTCAACTTGACATAAGTCATAAGAGAAGGAGCCTCCGTTGAGGAAATGCCTCCATGAGATCCAGCTCTAAGGCATTTTCTCAATTAGTGATCAATGGGGGAAGGCCCACTCCATGATGGGCGGTGCCATCCCTGGGCTGGTGGTCCTGGGTTCTATAAGAAAGCAGGGTGAGCAAGCCATGAGGAACAAGCCAGTAAGCAGCTCCCCTCCATGGCCTCTGCATCAGCTCCTGCCTCCAGGTTCCTGCCCTGACTTCCTTCAATAATGAACAGCAATGTGGAAATGTGAGCCAGATAAACTTTACTCCTCAACTTACTTTTTGGTCATGGTGTTTCATTGTAGCAATGGAAACCCTAACTAAGACTCCATGTAGTCCTGGCTGACCTGGAACTTTCTGTGTAAACCAGGATCGACCTCAAACTCAAGAGATTACTGCCTCTGCCACCTGAAAGCTGTAATCAAAGGTGTGGATTACCACATCTGGCCTTAAATCAAGCTCTCTCTGTATGTGTGTGCCATGTGCAGAAGTCCAGAGGCTGTTATTGAGTCTTCCTTAACTGCTTTCCAATGTAGCAAATACCTTAATTCTCAACAAATATTCTGTGTGTCTAAAGAATAATTAAAAACAAATAAAAATAAACAATTAAAATTTGTATTATCAGCCAGGTGTTGGTGGCGCACGCCTTTAATCCCAGCACTCGGGAGGCAGAGGCAGGTGGATCTCTGTGAGTTCGAGGCCAGCCTGGTCTACAAAGTGAGTTCCAGGACAGCCTCCAAAGCTACAGAGAAACCCTGTCTTGAAAAACCAAAAAAAAAATGTATTATCTTAATACTTAAAAATTATTTCTTGCAGAGCTGGGGTAAAACTTAGAATCCTGAGCATTGTAGGTGCTCATTGATGACCCATACCTCCATCTTTACAGGGCTTAATTTTCACATCAAGCGCTCACCATAACCCAGCAGACTATATCTCTGGAAGGAAAGCTGCCCACATGCATTTCTAGGAATCATCTAGCACACACATACCTGGTGTGAGGGGTAGGCTGGCATGAAGCCACTGGAAGTTGGTGCTGCAGCTCCACCCACTGGTCCAACAAGGTTAATGCCCATGATGGGCTGTCCAAGGCTGAGGGGCATGGAGCCTGCAGGGACAGAAGGCATCGCAGTCGGCTGGCTCACTGGGGTAGGCAGAGCCAGAGGAAAGCCGCTTAAGGTGGGAATGGGAGCAGCTGGGAACTGGTTCAAAGCATCAGGGCTCATGGCAGGAACACCCCTCTACAGGAACATCAGGAGATGAAAACATTTTAGCTGACTGCAGACCATTCAAATTCTGTGCAAGAAAGACCTACACATAGCTTTCCTGTTGTTTCACTCTCTTTGTCTGACTCCTTAAATACACGAATCTGATACCAGGAGAAAAGTAGAAAGGACAATGCAGCAGGATCCACTACTGTTCTATACTTCTAAAAATGTAATTATACACACAGAAAACTGGACCTGTTTATTTCATCTAACTATCCCCACTTAAAACTCCAACGCTAATACTTAGACAAGGCCAGTACACACCAACTGTGACATTTTCTGTCTGGTAAGTTTAGCTAACTTAAACTAATTCCAAAATATAAGAAAAGTTGTTACAAGGCTAACTATACTTTTGCTTGTTTGTTTGTCTTTCAAGACAAGGTTTCAATATGTAGCTCTGGCTGGCCTTGAACTCACAGAGATTAAAGGTATGTGCCACCACTGCCCAGACAGACCAAGTATACTTTAAGGAATTCTAAACAAGGGCAGAAATTTATTTCATCAATTACTTTCACTTTCAAACAAAAGAATAACTTGCTAGGATGTGCATTATATAAACTACGCATTTTTAAACACTTTATCACAAATGATCTACCTGTGTTACTGCTACCATGGCGAGAACAGTATAAAGCTCTTCCTTAGTAAGTTTGCCAGGTGTAGTACGATTGGCTAGGGCCCATATCTGTCCGAGAGTTTCCCTGGGAAGTCCAGATGACATCAGAATGGGATAAAGTTTAGCAGTATCTATTCCAGTTGGAGTCATTGTAGTTTCTAAAATTTTCTTATAGGCATCTATTAAAAGAAAGACCAGATGACAAATGCAGACACATTGCAGGTGATTGACTTTGTTGTTGCCACTGTTGGTATAAAAGAATAATCTTTAATAAATTAAAGTCAAGTTGCTTTACTTTAGTTGGCATCTGACTCAGTGGGGAAAGGCTGCCAAGCCTGATGACCTGAGTTCAATTCTTGGAACCCACAAGGTGGAAGGAGAGGACCTACTCCCAAAGTTGTCCTCCGACTTCCACAGACTTGACTGGGAAAGGATGCATGCATGTGTACGGAAAAAAAATGAAGAAAAAGATAAACTATCAGAAAGTGGACAGAACTAAAAAATACACTAAGGTCTAGTTTCTGTAGCTTTGAAGAAAAGAAAGGGGATGAGACTCAAAATGGGTAAATGGAGTTCTGCATGGTTTGGGAGAATATCTAGCCTTTGACTGACAGTTGGCTGATCACAATAACAAGTAGATATTACCAATTTCTCCCAGAAAGAAATTCTCCTGTATAGCTCTTGCATCAAGGTTGACTTACTCAAGTGGAGAATAACTTTGTCTGTGCCTCCCTTCAGCACTGATGAGCTGGCGGACATCACCTCCCGTCTGCAAGGCACTGAGCAGCAAATCAAGCAGCTCTTACTAACCACAGTGTCTGCTGCTGACATGACCGCTGTTTCTGTGTTTATTGATCTTGACTTAAACATACTGGTGTCCACTAAGTACTACCACACAATTTTAGTCATTTCCTCAGGTCAGCAATAAAACTACACATGAAGAAAAAACAAACCCCACTTTCCAATGTAGAAAACGATGCTACCCAATCTTTCATTTCATATAGTTTCATAAGACAATCAGCAAAAAAAAATTAAGAAAGTCTTAAACATACTACTATGATTCTTTAAAAAAGATATTTTTGCCAGGTGGTACATGCCTTTAATCCTCAGGAGGCAGAGGTAGGTGGATCTCTGTCAGTTCAAAGCCAGCCTGGTCTACAGAGTGAGTTCCAGGATAGGCTCCAAAACAATACAGAGAAACCCTGTCTCAGAAAAAAAAGATATTTAAAATTTTTTATGTGTTTTGCTTGCATGTAAATATGTGTGCTTGGTGCCTGCAGAAGCCATGTGTCTGGTGTCCTGGAACTGGAATGTGATTTTAAGTCATTATGCTGGTGCTAGGACTTGAACTCAGGTCTTCTGGAAGAACAGCCATGTTCTTAACCACTGAGCCGTCGCTTCAGCCCCAATACCGTGATTCTTGATAGATAGATTATTGATAGTCTTTGAAATAAGTGTCTGATCATATCATCATTTAAAACACAGTAACTCTAATTGCTTGGCCTTTGCCCCATGAATCACCTTGCCACTCTCAATAAAGCGGTCTCTCTCTCTTTCTCTCTTTTTTTTTTTTTTGGAGACAGGGTCTTACTGTGTAGCCCTGGCTGTCCTGGAACTCTTAGAGAGCCACCTGCCTCTGCCTGCTAAGTGCTGAGAGTAAAGGCATGCATTACCATGCCCAGCCCATAAAGCAGTCTTAAGCATGAGGTTTATTTATGTAGTTTTCTATATTCCCCCAGAAAAAAATATAAGTAACAATTCCTTCTTTCCTTCTGCATATTTTATTACCAAGACAGTAAATATTTTAAAATATCTCTATAATATTTAAAGTAAAATATCCAGAGGAGAATGCTGGGCAAAGCAGCCTTACTTTACCTGGAACCAAACTCTCATTGTAAATCCAAGGAGGCATTCTGGGCTGAACAGGGTCCTGAGAGGGAAACACAGCCACCCCTAGAAGGTAAGGATGGTTAATGTACACATGATCTGCAGAAGAGAAAAGCCACTGCTTTTTACAAAGAGGAGCACTGGCTGGAGTCACTAGAAAAAAGTCACCAATATAATAAAAGTACTTGGTTTCCAACAATTCTTGTGCAGTAACTATGAATTAAAATATAAAGAGAGAGTACAAGGTACCAAATCAATAATCAGAGTCACAGGGGGCATGCACCATTTAATGTGTTTGACAAGTTAAGGGGAAAACACAAGAGAGTGGCTTAAAATTACAAGTGTAAAATATCCTCCTGGGGTTTGTCTACAGGGTTGCCCATATTTTGATTCATCTCCAGTTAAAATATGGATTTAGCTTTTGTGTTTTGGGAACAGGACCCAGGGTCATGTGGGTGCTGAGTGTGCAGTCTACTGCAGCCCAAAGACCTGCTTGTCTTTCTGTGGTGCTGTGGGCTCCAGCCCAGGGCCCTGAGTGTGTGAATCTGGATCTTTCAGGCCACAGCACAGACAATTTAGCTCAGACAGAAAGACTGCATTTTCATTGGTGACTTTTCCAGTTACAGCTAAACTTTTAACTTTTACCAAAAACCAGAAAGCACGAGGGGAACCAAAAGGGAACTGTTGTCAAATGAAAGGAAATTTTAGATTAGGAGTGATTCCGATTAAGAAACAGGGTTATCAAAATCATTTGAAGAGGAGTATCACAGTGTGTTCAGAGTTCAGAGCAAAATCTTAGGGGTTAATTGGAGGAAAGACTGCATAAATGTTTTTAAGCAAAATCTGAATTAGCACAATCAAGCAACATCCATTTTAAGATTAATGCTCGTGTTAGCGGCTGAGCGGCAGTTGGTTAAACAAAGTTTGTGCTGAACGTTGCAGGAGCTCACCACTCTCTCCATTCGGCAGGTTTTGGTCTGAAGTCTTTTCTGCCTCTGCAGTGGTGGGACCACTTACACATCCATCTACAGCACCCCCGTCATGGGCCATTAAGCCGGGACAGTTCTTACTGGAACCTGGGACTACAGCTTTTTGCCCAACTTCAGGAGTGTTTAATTTAATTTGTTCCTGCCCAGATGTACTTATATCACAAGATACTAGGAGCTTCTCTTCCAAGGAAGGGCCTAAACAAACAGCATGAAGGATTACTTGTATATGACTTGCATATCCCAATCTTTTCACCATCCCTTCCCCGCCCTCATGTTCTCAGTGGAGGAACTCCCACAGAGCATGGAATTTCATAATAATTCAATTATTACCATTGGTGAAGGATTTGAGAGACTTCAGAGGTTTGGGGGAACTTAACATAATTACCTTACTCTGGTTCTCAGGGGTTCCATGCCACAGGAGGTAGAATTGTGAAGTAAGGAGGGGCATGCTGTGGAAATTCAGCAAGCTCCCAGACACAGTCTCCTAACTAGTGGGAGACCATCTGGCCTGTTTTCCATATCTGTCAAATGACGAAATCTTATAGACTACATACAGGTCTCCCAGGACCCTTCCTAGCACACTCTGTCTTGAGATAGACTGTGCCTGCCCCATAATTTCACAAATGACAAAAATGGAAGTACAGAAATATTTAAAGACTTCTCCAAGGATAAAACATGTCACTGCATTAGGCTGGCCTCAAATCTGAGCAGGTCCTGCTGCTTCTGTCTGCCTAGTGCTGGAATTACATACACTGTCACCATGTCCATCTTAGATGGAGTCCTTTTCTTTTCTTTTCTCCCTTCCTTCCTTTCTTTTAGAAACAGGGTCTCATGTAGCTCAGGCTGCCTTGAACTATGTAGCAAAGGATGACCTGGAACTCCTGATTCTTCTGCCTCCATGACTCAAGGAATGGATTATAGATGTGTATACCATGGCTGACTAAGATATCACACTTTAAAAGGGTTACATTTATTTCTTTTTGTGTGTGTATGTTGGTGCATGTGTGAAAGTGGGAAGAAAACTTGTAGGAGTCTTTTCTCTCCTTCCAGGGTGTGAGTTCTGGGGATAAACTCAGGTCATCAGGCTTGGTGGCAAGTACATTATCTGCTGAGCCATCTCATGGGCCCTGAAAGATTACTTTTAATGGAGTTCTCTCTAGAGCATTATTTTAACACTATATCAGTGATTCTTTTTTTCCCAAGCAAAAGCATCATTTTAAGAGGTCAGTTTGCTTTTAAAGTTTTCTGATGGTTTCACCTGTTTCTAACACAGCAGCAAAAGGTTTTAAATCACTTTTCTAGCAAATGAAGCTGTGAAAACTTCATCTGGCCTTGGTTGGTGGCTGTTGATGGTTCGCACAAATCATATACCATGTTTCTTTGCCAATCGCACTATATAATTTTACATAAGAGAAATATATTATCCTAGAATATCTTAACACTTCGATAATAACGCTAGAGTTACCTGCTTTCTGCACACCGTGTGAAGCTGAAGCAGTAGAGAAACAAGGAATTTGCCCAGGGCCACCATGTAAGGCAAAAGACACTGGAACCTGACCTGGAGGGAGAGGCTGTGCTCCAGCCTTCTGTGTGTGCAACTGGCCCAGAGGGGTGGTGGGGAGGAAAGACCGAAAGGGCCTGGCTGTGGAAGGGGGCCCACAAGCGGGAACCTCAACAGGCCCCTGCATAAAATCACTGAATTCGTCTTCGTCAAGAAAGGCAGGTGATGGGGAGACAGTTTTAGTAGAATGAGATGATGTGGGACAATCTGCAAAATGGAAAATGGCAATGAAACATACAGGAATGAAAACCGAAGAGAGAAAGAAATCCAGATGTAACACAACCCTCAGCACATATGAAATATGAACAGTGGAGGTGAGTGAGAGACAACCATGGATCAATGGAACCAGAGTGCTCTGTTTTATTCTAAAAGAAGTTCTAGAGCTGTTTTATATTTGGTTGAAAACCAGATAAAATTAACTCACATTTCCTTCTTTCATTTTATTAGGTGTTATCAAAAAGGTAATCATTTCTGAAATCCAACTGGTCTATCCATAATATTTTGTTTGTTTGTCTATTTGTTTATTTTTTGAGACAGAGCCTGTCTACTATGGAACTTTCTCTGTAGACCAGGCTGGCCTCAAACTCACAGAGATCCACCTGTCTCAGCCTCCCAAGTGGTGAGATTAAAGGCATGTGCCACTACATTTGGCCTAGACAATCCTACTAAACAAACAAACAAATATATATGAACAGAGATCTGAACAGCACAACACAGCTAATTACTTAACATGTCTCCCTTGAGGCTAACTGCTACCCACAGATCTGTGTTGACAACAGATGTCTTTGTATGAACACAATGTGGGACCTCACAATGGCCACCGCTCTCTGCCTTTTGTAAATTTGGTGCCAGGTTCAGTTTTAGCCCTAACTGTCAATGTTTGTATGCTCAGCTATGTAACTTGCTAGGTCTGCACTCCATGCCAGCCTCCAGCTTGCAGCCCCTCTGCCTTGGCCCCTGGTGCTGAGATCGCAGGGCTGTGTCACCACACAGTCTGAGTCACTCCATCACCAGCCTGTGTGGCTTATAAATAATTTCAGTTCTAGACACACTTTTCCTCATCTCAAGACGACTGAAAGCATCTATTCTCTTTCCAGTTTTAGTATATACTTTACTTTGGGCATGATTTTGGTAATAGGAATCAAGGTTCATAGTCTAATCAGTGAAATGAACAGGATCAAGAATTAATAACAGGCTGGAGAGATGGCTCAGTGGTTAAGAGCACTTAACGCTCTTCCAGAGGACCTGTGGGGGTTCCTGGCACCCACGTCAGTTTTACAACAGCTTGTAACTCCAGGGTTTGGGATTTGTTGTTAGGCACCAACACACAGACACACATAAATAAAAATAAATACTTAAAAAATTTATAACAATGTCACTATTGTTTCCTCCTGATATTAACTTATAAGAGATACTAAAACACAAGAATTTAAGATAAAGTTTATTGATATATTTTCTAGCAGTATATAGTACTTTTTGATTTGATGAATGTTTTATGAAAATTGCTTGGCTATTAATAGTATATTATTATTGAAATTAACTGATAACAAAATGTCAAAATATTTAATTTCAAAGAGATGAGAGAACGTTTTGCGATAATTTTAACTAAGTGTTTAAAATGACAACAAAACATAAAAAAACCCTCTTCTCTACCCTGCTTCTCTAAAAGGCAATTTTATTTGATTACCTCATGATTAAAAACTACAAAGAAATTAACTGAAGAAACTGAGCTTTCCTAAGGAGTATTATACTCATGACTATTTAAAAATGGGATCTGCCTACCTCTGCCTCCCAAATGCTAGGATTAAAGGTGTGCACCACCACCTGACTCAAAAGACTTTCCTAACATCAGTACACTCACTATTCAAATTTTCCAGGGAGTTATTAAAGTGATGGTAAGTAGAGGACTAAGGACTTTAAGCTCCAGCTTAGCTGTTAGCTGGGTCAGATCCCTTATATTTTAAAATGTTCAAATCTGAATTCAGCTTGGAGGAAAAACTCAGCACTGACCTTCACACACAGAGACCAACTGAATATGGGGAGATGATCAACTGACTTCCAAGGAAAGAAAGTTTTTTATGTTTCTTAAAATGAAACTACCTGGTTTCTTGGGGTGTGATGCTGGAGTAGGGTGCATCTTAGCATCTCTGGAAAATCCATCTAAATTTCCTTTTATGGCTTCCAAAGCATCGTCTCTGTTCTTCTCTCCTGTCTGCAAGATAGAAACCTGTGTTTAGAGTTTCCCTTGTCTTCCACGCTCTTCCCTTCTCAAGCTAATACACAGAGACCTATTTCTGATACGCTTTTCTCTCTCTCTCTCTCTCTCTCTCTCTCTCTCTCTCTCTCTCTCTCTCTCTCTCTTTTTGTTTTTTGAGACACAGTTTTAAAGTTTACTGTGTCCCAGACTGGCCCCAAACCCATGGCCATTCTCCTGCTTTTGACTCTCAAGTGTGAGAATACAGGAATGGCTTTAGTTCCAATATTCTCACCATGTACTTCTGACATTCTACCAAAAATAATAACTTAAAAATGTTCATTCTCAAATACTATAGGACAAGGCTATGAGATACTAAATGTTTTATGAGGAACCTGACAAATCCACTTCCTATCATCCTATTATGACCAATGCTTTCCAAGAAAAATATTACCAACATGGTGGCTTAAAAGAGAGAGTTGAGAAGACAATGGCTGATACCTGTTTTCCCCAACAATAGCACATCTATCTGTACAGAGAAAGAAAAATCCTTCCCTTTAGGCCTGGGGAAAACCATGATGTAAAGAAATCCACTGCAGCCTCAGCTTGGGCTGCTGCCTGTGTGAGAGAGAGGAGGCACGTGCAGCGCACACACGCGTGCTGTGTGTGAGAGAGAGAGAGGAGGCACGTGCAGCGCACACACGCGTGCTGTGTGTGAGAGAGAGAGAGAGAGAGAGGAGGCACGTGCAGCGCACACACGCGTGCTGTGTGAGAGAGGAGGCACGTGCAGCACACACACGTGTGCTGTGTGAGAGAGAGAGAGAGGAGGCATGTGCAGCACACACACGTGTGCTGTGTGAGAGAGAGAGAGGAGGCACGTGCAGCACACACACGTGTGCTGTGAGAGAGAGAGAGAGGCACGTGCAGCACACACACGCGTGCTGTGTGAGAGAGAGAGAGAGGAGGCACGTGCAGCGCACACACGCGTGCTGGGTGGGGGCGTGCATACATCACCTTAGGTTTCACGCTACTCAAAAGTCTGAGCTTTTGTTTTTGTTCCTCAAACTGACGTCTTTTCCTTTCTTCCTCTAAGAGCTTTTGTTGCTGTTCAAATCGTTTTCTGAAGGGAAAACAATTACATCAACATTCAGCTTCAAGCAGTAACAGTTCCATTCAGACTTTTACTATCAGCTTCAGCAATACACATTTGCAGTTCTAAAATGATACTCTTCACTCTTCATTATATGTAATTCTCTTATGACAATCTGTTTCTTCTGAATAATAGCTATAAAATATTTTAAATGAATCTATAGAATGATTCACTTAATCTACATGTATTTTTATTTCTTACTGAATTTGTAAGACAAAGATTTTTTGTTGTTGTTGTTTTTTTTTGTTTGTTTGGGTTTTTTTTTGTTGTTGTTGTTTTTTTGGTGATGGTAGAGCTGAGTATGAAACCCAGGGCCTATGCATGCCAGACAGCAATTGAGATAGTTGCAAGTGTAAAGAGGGAAATTCACCTCTAGGTGGAGACATGGCCTTGTCCCCTCTCTGAAGGGTTAACCCAATGGGGCAAGCCCAAGGACCTGGCGAGGGGGCCACCCCAGGAAGGCAAGTTCACCTTAGGAAAGAGCCCCTCAGTTGGTTATCTAACACACCAAAATGGTCAGCCCTGAAATTATATACCTACAAGTAAAATAATATGGGCTAAGTAGGTTGTACTTAAGAGGCCATAGATTTGAGAGACAGAAAGCAAGGGGAGAGTATATATGGCAAGACTTCAAGGGAGGAAAGAAAAGGCAGGGGTAGTGTAATTTCATATATATAATTATATGTAAATATAAATATAGATATTCGATTTTTCAAGACAGGGTTCCTCTGTGTAGCCTTATAGACCAGGCTGGCCTTTAACTCACAGAGATCCTTCTTGCCTCTGCCTCTTGAATGCTGGGATTAAAGGCATGTGCCGCCACCACCACCCGGTTGTGTAATTATATTTAATTTTAAAATATTTTCCAAATTATCAATTAAAAAATGATAACATGGGGCTGGAGAGATGGCTCAGTGGTTAAGAGTCCTGGCTGTTCTTTCAGAGGTCCTGAGTTCAATTCCCAGCAACCACACGGTGATTCACAACCATCTATAATGAGATCTGGTGCTCTCTTCTGGCCTGCAGGCAGAACACTACATACATAATAAATAAATAAATCTTAAAAAAAAAAGTTAACATGCCTTTCGTTCCCAGAGTCCCTTCCCCCCGGTGCAGTCCCTATGAGGTATCCACTTTTCTGGGACCTGACTCAGAAAAATGTAATCATTTCTTTTTCTTCTCTTCTGTTTTTTCCCCCCTTTCTGGATGCTGGCCAGAGCCTAAGTGCTCTTAAACTCCTAAGGCTTGGGGCTTCCTAACTCTGTTTCTAAGGTTCCCTTGCCCTGCCATGTGGTTGACCTCCACACAGTCTTATCCTCCCCATCATCCCCCTTTAGACAGCTGTGAGAGTTAGTTTTCCTGCCCTGGACTTTTCCTTTCAAACTAATAAACTGCCCATAAACATCTGTCTGAATCTGTTCTTTGTCCTCAAATTCCCTTTGTGTACATTCTTAATTTGTATTATCAGTAAGACAAAGAACCCCAGGAGGGGACACCGATCCCTAAGGTATCATATGATGGCTTTGTTGTGACTCCATGGATCTCCAGTTTTATTTCTTTCCTGCTTTTATTTCCTTAATTGACAGAGAACATGAACCCCTTTCTCCACCCCTAGATTTCCAGCAGTAGAGGAAACAGTCTTGGTACACTGAGCAGTCACGAATACCAGGGAGGCAGATGAACATAAAAGCACGCTTTGTTCTGCATATAAGAAAGTAAAATTCATGCTCTGTGGTACAGCACTTGCCTAGCAGCTAGTGCTGTACCATAAAGCAGCGGTAGCAACAACAACCAATTTAGGAAGCTGGATGTAGAAGCAAAAACCTATAATCCCAGCATTTGGGAGGCCTGGGCACAAAGACTGCAAATTCAAAATCACCCTGGGCCTTTTTTGTTACTCTGACTCCAGAAATCAAAACAACAAAAAAGACAAAAAACAACCAAATATACCGGGAATTTCTTTGGGAAGGAAGGCCGAGTCTCCAGGATCAAGAACCATGTTTTCAGGAGCAAGGGGCCAGCCAGCCAGGCAACCAAGTTTGTTGGTAACTTTGTAACCTGTGCTGACAAACCACTTCATTTTGGGTCCCTCTTAGAACTGAAAGCATTTTATTCTGTATTTTTGTTTTGTTTTGTCTGAGATAGACTCTTGTTATATTGCCCCCCTGGCTTAAAACTCACACTTCTCCTATGTCAGCCTCCCAAGAGGTTGGGCTTACAAGTTAAGTGCCCTGCCATTCAGTTGTCTCTAAACGTCTTACCAAAGTATTTAAGGGTCCCTGTCTCAAAATGAGACAACAAACAAACCCGTTTTTAAACTGTCCTAAAAACAATGTATCTCTTCTAGCCTCAAAGTGCAGAACATCTGATAATCTATAGAATAGCTGCAACTGTGTTATCCCTGGATCCTGGGCATCTCTTACTGTTGCTCTTCAGCAAACTGCTTCTGCATGTCTGGAGTGTACTGTGGGCCTGGAGGACGCATGCCCAGGAATGGTGGCTGCCCCAGGAAAGGCATGCCTGCTGCTGGCATTGGTCCCATTGGTATTCCTGCCTAGAAGAAACAACAGGCAACAGATTAATTAATATATGGGTTTTCTTTTTAATTATTAACAAACTTTGCAAAGTTATTTCATAGTATTTTTACTAGTAAGATACATGATACGTTCTAGTGAAAGATTAAAACAACATAGGCCGTTAGTGTCAGAGGACACCACTGGTGTAAACTCCATCAGGCTTCACGGAAGCACAAAGTTACACGCCAGTGTGCTCAGAAATCCACATGCTTTGAGGAAAGGTGTCATAGCATTATGTATGCATCTCTGTTTTCCCAGCATCAGTGAAGACCCCGGCATACGGCAGTCATTTCACATGTAAAATGATTCTCAGATTTTTAAGAGTACTTGCTGCGGCCAGATGGTGGTGGCACACGCCTTTATTCCCAGGACTCGGGAGGCAGAGGCAGGTGGATCTCTGTGAGTTCAAGACCAAGCCTGGTCTACTGAGCAAGTTCCAGGACAGGCTCCAAAATAATACAGAGAAACCCTGTCTCGAAAAACAAAACAAGACAAAACAAAACAAAACAAAACAACAACAACAAAAAAAGAAGAGTATTTGCTGCTCTTACAGAGGACTGGAGTTTGATTCCCAGCACCTACATGTGTTAGGGGAAGTCCTGTGCATTTGTCAATAAGGCACTGTCTGGCCAATAGGGAATCAAGATAGGTGGGACTAGGAGTCGAGGAGGACTCTGGGAAAGAGAAACAGGAGAAACACAGAGAGTCAAGATGTAACGCCATGGGGTAGGAAGCCTGGAACTATTCTCCAGTAAGAGAAATACTCAGATTAACAATTATGGGGTAATTACTTAAGTCAGAGCTAGCCAGTAAGAAACAAGCAAGGCCAACAGCTTCATAATTAATATAGCCTCCTGTGTGTTTATTTGGGACTGATGCGGCTCTAGAACCAGACTGGCAGGAAGGCTTCTCTCAAGGAAAAAGCTTCTCTTTACATACATGGTATCTTGAACCACCTGTAACTCCAGTTCTAGGGGATTGGATGGACTCTTCTGACATTGCCTGGCTCCAGGCACACACACAGTACAAAAATATAAAAGCAGGCAAAACATTCATACACATAAAATAAATAAAATCTAACAAAAGATAAATATTTTGATATTCATATCAAGTTGTAATAGCCTAAACTTTCACAAGTAACATAGATTTAATCAAAAATAAATTATTCTCAATACAGTAATATATACTTAGCTGAAGTATTCAGAAATAAGAATCCCTCAGCACAATACCCACTCACAAACTCTAACATTAAACTTAGAGTAACAATAATGGCAATTTTTCCTGAGTAGAAGTTTCTCCCGACAGCTTCCCTTCTGAACTGTGGATGCTTTTGAAGCCTACTAGAGACTACTGTCTTAGAAGTGGGGAACACTTGTTCCTGATACTATTCACCAGCATCATCAACAACCCAGAAGATGTTTCAGCTATTATTTCTCATTTATTCTCTTTTTCCTTTAATTCTAGGATTTCAATGGGACACATATTAGGTCTTCTCTCATATCATTGAACTCTCTCACACATTTCTTTTTCTGGTGTGTGTGTGTGTGAGCGTGCGTGCATGCATGCGCTCTTATACCTAGATGAGCATGCAGATGGAGGACCAGGATGCCCAGAACAATTCTCAATTATTCTTCCACCTATTTATTGTGGCATGGTCTCTCATTCAAACCCAGTGCTCACTGATATAGCTAGTTTTCCTTGCTGGCTTGCTCTGGGGATCCCTCTATCTCTACCATCTAGGCCTAGATTTATATGCAGGGCACCATGCCCAATGGGCATTTAAATCAGCTTCTGAGGTACAAATACCACCCTCATTCTTGCCATCAAGCACTTTCATTGCTAAGCCAGTTCCTCGGCTCCTCTCATACATTTTATTTTGTCTTCAACTGAAATAGCTTCTTCTGACCTCTCAAACTCACTAAGTCTTTCTTTAGCCATTTCTAATCTCCAGCTAAACCACCCATAGAAGTCTTTTGGTTAGCATATTTTTTCAATCCTGAAATTGCTTAAATCTATTGTGTCTTTTTTTTTTATAATTTTGAGTTCCCTACCAAGATTTTTCTACTTCAGCTTTTATTTCTTAGATCGTAAGAAAGAACATATAGCTCCATTGTCTATTCTACTAATTGCAACACTAACATTTGTCCTGAACAGTTGCTGTGCTGGTATGAATGAGAATGGCCCCACAGGCTCTTATTTGCATGCGTATTCCCCAGTTGGTGGAACTACTTGGGAAGAATCAGGAGGCGTGGCCTTGTTGGAAGAGGTGTGTCACAGGGATGGGCTTTGATTCTTCAAGACCCAGCACCATTCCCAGGCAGCTCCTTTTCTTTGCCTCTCATTTGTGGATAAGGATGTGACTTATCAGCTATGCTCCAGTGCCATGCCTGTGTGCCTGCTGCCATGCTCCCCACCATGATGGTCATGGACTCACCCTCTGAAGCTCTAAGCCCCTAATAAACTCTGTCTTTTATAAGTTGCCTTCGTCATGGTGTTTTATCACAGCAATGGAAAGGAAACTGAGACAGTCACCTGCATGTGTTGAGTCTTTGAGTTTGAACTGCACTGTGGCATACACCTACAATTCCACCTACTCAGAAGGCCAAGGCAATGGGGATTCCCTGAACCCAGATATAATAAAATTCCATAATTCTGGGCAGTGGTAGTGTACAACTTTAATTCTAGCACTTGTGAGGCAGAGACAGGCAGATTTCTGTGAGTTTGAGGCCAGCCTGGTCTACAAAGTGAGTTACAGGATAACCAGGGCTACATAGAGACCCTGCCTTGAAAAGTAGATAGATGATAGATAGACAGACAGGTGATAGACAGAGAGATAAAACTCCATAAAATGCAAACTATTTCTAAACACAACATTGAGTTCTTAAAACCATAGCTCTTGACATACAGATGCCTAACAACAATCAACTAAGAAGCAAGTACCTGCATTGCAATGGGTCCTTGGGACATTTGAGAGCTGTAATTCATTCCCATCATGCCTTGCATATTGGGCTGCATGACAGACACCATAGGAAATCCTTGCTGCTGCATTGGCATCAGGCCTGCTGGAAAACACCAAGACTTTATTAAAATCAACATGTTCTAAAGGTTTATTTCCTTGAAACCACAACACCCAGAGGACTTGCTAATTGAAAAGCTGTACAGTACAATGGAGAATGCATATGGTCCTGATGAGACAGGCTTGAATGAGAATTCCATCACCTATTTAGCTATGTGATCTTGAGCAAGTTATAAAATTCCATCTGTTAAGTCAGTGGTGTTTAACCTACGGGTCCAGTCCCCTTTGGGGGGTATTGGAACTGCCCATTCACAGGGGTTAGCTAAAACCATCAGAAAACACAAATATTCATATTACGATTCATAAAAGCAACAACGAAATTAATTTTATGGTTGGGTCACCACAACATGAGGAACTGTATTAAAGGATCTGTATTAAGTGAAAGTAATAATACTGGCTCTGCAGAACTTGAAATGTGGATATGAAATGTGGCCTAAATACAGTATTCAGTCTTCACTGTGGGCCCCAGTGATTCCTGCCCACTGGTATTCATAAGCTTGCATCTTTCTTCCCATGCTGAACTTGTACAGCTAACAATATACTGTGGTGGCAACAGCACATAATTCCCAGTCTAGTTCTTTTGGGGACAAGATCTGATATGACTGAAGGGCTAGCCTGATCGTCCTGCCTCTATCTCCCAAAGCTGTAATCACAGGTGCGTGCCAGCATACCTTGGCTCCTAAGGCTAGTCATTAGCTTCCTTGTTGCTTTCTTAAACTATGTGTTCTAGGGGAAGCCACTCTGCATCACAGGAAGCGCATGTGGGGATCTGGGGCCTCCTCCAAAGAGGCAGCATGAGTCTGCCACCTTGAATGAGCCATCGTGAAAGCAGATCTTTCCCCTCCATGAACCCTTCAGATGACTGCAGTTCTGCCTGACAGATTTACTGCAACTCACAAGATGCTCTGAGCCAGAACCACCCAGCAAAGCTGCTCTCAGATTCCTGATTCATAGACACATTGTAAAAGAAAAAGCTTCTTTTGTAAAGTTTTGGGGTCCTCTGCTATGTAACAGTGGATAATAACACTTTAAGATCATGACTCTGGAAGCCAAATGAATGCGCTATGTACTACCCATGGTACCTTGAGTATTTGCTCACTCTGCATGTATTTATGCTCTCTCTCTCTCTCTCTCTCTCTCTCTCTCTCTCTCTCTCTCTCTCTCTCTCTCTCTCTCTCTCTCTCGAACTTACTATATAGCCAGGTTGGCCTCTAACATCTCGAGTGCCGGAGTTATGGCACTCCTGGTTTTTCTTAACTCTGCTCTGCAACTTCACTTCTCATCTGCAAAGCCACTTAATGCTTTTTATGTCAAAGAGATGCTAGTCTTCTTCCCCTCCCTTAACGAGGTTTACCCAGAGCAGTCAGTGCTGTGTGAAGCATGTGTGACACAGGACAGGAAAATCACGGGCAAAGTACCATGTCACTAGTACCTCTAAAACTTCCCCAGTCCAAGAGCAGAGAACAGATGCGTCGCTCTCTGGGGCTTAGTAACAGTAACTGTCTACCACACATAAGGAACAGTTCCATATGCCTTGTTCATGACAGTGAATAAAAATATAGCTTGAGCACAAATTATACTCGAACTTTGCGTTTTACCACACCCTGCAATCTCATTGATTCTAGCAGGCATGTCCAACCTGTGGGCTACATGCAGCTGATCTGAGGACAGTCATAAATACAGCCCAATACAAAATCACTAGCTTACTTAACACCACAGGAACAATTTTTTAAAATCACTAAAAACAACAACAAAACACCCCTACAAAACAATTCAAAATTTCAGGGACTGGAGGGGATGGCTTAGTGGTTATGAGCACTTGCTGCTCTTAACAGAGGACCTGGGTTCAATTCCCAGCACCCACATGGTGACTCACAAGCACCTGTAACTCCACTTCCAGGGAATATGACAATTCTTCTGACCTTCATGGGCTCCAACACACATGTGGTACACTATACATTTACATGCATTCATGTGCACACATATACACACAATGTTAGAAAAAAATCCTAATTCTAGAATTAAAAATTATCAGCCATTCTTGGGATCTTTTTCTTGTTCAGTTTCTTTGTCCTGTATGTGGATTTTTACCTCGAAGAGTAAGAAGATACAAAGCAACGAACCACACATGCCAGTTAACACAACTCTGTGGACAGGGTACCTTAGACCATTTGAGGTAAATCTGGGACACCTGAGCAGAGCTAGCTTAGGAAACATATACACATGTACACAATGAAAAGCATACAACTGACCCTTGAAAACTTGGCCTGAACTCAACCTCTCCCACGGATGGAGACAAAGTCAGAGGGAGCTAATTCCCACTTGCCCTAAGTGCCCTTTATCTTTCCTCTCTCCTGGTGACCTAGAAGTTTCTGTTTCCCCAGTGAGTTCACATAGCCAACCAGCACTGGCTTTGTGAGAAGGGTAACTTTTCAACAGCAGCTGGAGGCTGAGGGGGGTGAGGGGGAGCCCATGGAACGCAGAAGGGAGCAGAAAGAAGCAAGACAAGTGCAGGTAAACTCTTCCCTCAATTCTTGTCTATAGCAGAATGGGTCAACTCCGGGTGCCTTCAAGGTATGGCTAGAATTGATTCTGGTGGGCTCCAGTTCTACAGTCAAGAGATGGGTGTACTGAATACAGACATTTCCAGGGATAAAACTGAGACTCAACTCCTATTATTTTCTATAGGGTCTTGCTATATAGTCCAGGCTGGCTCAAATTCACAACCCTGCCTCAGCCTCTCAATTGTTAGAATTATAGGCATATGTCCCCAAGATGGCTGAGACATACTTTCCTTCCTGCCTGCCTTCTTGCCTGACTTCCTTCTTGCCTGCCCTCCCTCCCTCCCTCCCTCCCTCCCTCCCTCCCTCCCTCCCTCCCTCCCTCCCTCCCTCCCTCTCCAGGTACCTCACTATGTAGCCCTGGCTGGCCTGGAACTCAATTTGCAGACCAACCTCAAATTTAAGAAACTGGCTTACCATCACTTCCCAAGTCCTGGGATTAAAGGTGTACATTAGCATTAACTTGAGACTTATAGACTTTTAAATCAGGATATCAGATCTCTTTTATGTGCATCATTATAGTAAGACCATGACACACAGGAAAAGCACACACGAGATACTAAAGAGGTTTACTTATTCACTCAATAAATATCACATGGAGTCCACCACACATGCAGGCAGGGTGCTGGAGATCCTGGGAAGCACAAGATACCAGCTCCTGCCCTCTGGCACAAAGAAGGTGGAAGAAGACATGGGAATTACAGTTTGTTTCAGTGTCATCACTTGTCCTTAATTTCTTGCCCTGAAAAGTTTTCCTTCATCTCTGAGGTTAAATAATAACCTATAGATATAATGGACAAGTAAGTCTGGGAAACTTGAGGAGTGATCCTTTCACTTCCCAAATTAAACATTTTTAAAAGAAATTTTGGAAGCTGGGTATTGGTGGCGCATGCCTTTAATCCCAGCACTCAGGAGGCAGAGGCAGGTGGATCTCTGTGAGTTTGAGGCCAGCCTGGTCTACAGAGCAAGTTCCAGGACAGCCTCCAAAGCCACAGAGAAACCCTGTCTCAAAAAAACAAAAATAAAATAAAATAAAAAATAAAAGAAATTTTGGGAGGTGTCATACAGAGTTAAGACTATAAGATAAATTTACTTCATTGGGCAGCAATATAATTTATCTTCTACTTATTCATTTAACTCAGAAACAGGGGGTAACAACTTCAGTGTGGGCCCGAGGATGTGGGTTAGGGGCAGAGTGTGAGACCCTGGGTTCCACTCCAGTACTGACAGATAAATGTGAGCTCTCACATACCTTGAGGGGGCCTCATCCCACCTGCAACAGGAAACATGAAGCTGCAACAGAAATACAAATACATCAGTATCTGCATCTGTATAAGATTTCAGACAAGAACGAAAGACTCAGACAGGGCCTGCTATCACGTCAGCAGTACAATGCTGGCGCCTCCGCATATTTAAAGAGTGTATGTGTGTCCTTTGCCTGTGTGCTTGCCTGTGCACTGTATGCATGTAATGTCCATAAACCCAGAAGATGGTGCTGGATCCCCCAGGAGTTTCAAAAAGTTGTGGAGTTTCCATGTGCATGCTGGGAACTAAATCCAGGTTCTTTGCAAAACCAGCAAATGATCTTAACTGCTGAGCCATCTTTCTAGCCCCAGAATTATTAATATTAGTAAAGACAGCCGGGCGTTGGTGGCACACACCTTTAATCCCAGCACTTGGGAGGCAGAGGCAGATGGATCTCTGTGAGTTTGAGGCCAGCCTGGTCTACAGAGCAAGTGCCAGGACAGCCAGAGCTACAAAGAGAAACCCTGTCTCGAAAAGCCAAAAAATAAAATAAAATAAAAATAAAGACAAAGACTACCTTTCCTATGATACAAAGTATCAGCTTGCTAATGTGGAGAGAACATTTTTTTGTGGGGTGAAATAGAAAACAGAAGACCATGACACTATTCCTGGCTCTGTCACCTTGTGAACTCCCTGGATTCAAAATTCTCCAGCCATGAAATGAGAGGGCTGGATTCATGTCCATTCAGGGAACATTTAATGAGCATCTACTATATGGAAGGACTGAAACATCTTGCAATCTTGAATGCACAGGTGCAGGCAGTAGTAAGTATACTATTTTAAGCAAGATCCAAACACTAAGAGCTCAGAAAAGCGAGGTTAATTTTTAGGCTATACCTTAGGAGGATCTGCAGAGTTGGCTTTAAGCTTGTTAAAGGGAAAAAGAAAAGTTGTACAACATACACTTTTGGCAAAAGTTCTGAGGTTTGAGATGTAGGACATCAATCAAGATGATCTGTGGGGGCTGGAAAGATGGATCAGCAGTTAGGTGCACTGATTGCTCTTCCAGAGGACCTGGGTTCAATTCCTAGCACCCACATGGTGGCTAACAACTGTCCTTAACTTCAAAATGACACCTTCACACAGATAAACATTCAGGCAAGGCCAGGCGGTGGTGGCACACGCCTTTAATCCCAGCACTCAGGAAGCAGAGGCAGGCGGATCTCTGTGAGTTTGAGGCCAGGCTGGACCGACAGCCTCCAAAACAATACAGAGAAACCCTGTCTCGTAAAAACAAAAAACAAAAACAAAAAACCAAAAAAAAAATGCAGGCAAACACCAATGTACATAAAATAAGAAAAAATAAATCATTAAAAAAGATGATCTGTGGCTAAACATATGTTTTAAAATAACCAGATTGCCAGGGTGCAGCTCAGGGGTAGGACACTTGGGCTCAGTCCCCAGTGGAGGGAGGGAGAAAGGGAGAGAGGAAGTAAGAAAGGATTTTAAGCCTGGTGGTGCACACCTTTTCTCCCAGCCGTTATGAGGTGGGGAGTTCAAGGCAAGCCAAGGCTACACAGTGAGACATCTTAAAGAAGAAGAAGGAGGAGGAGGAGGAGGAGGAGGAGGAGGAGGAGGAGGAGGAGGAGGAGGAGGAGGAGGAGGAGGAGAAGGAGAAGAAGAAGAAGAAGAAGAAGAAGAAGAAGAAGAAGAAGAAGAAGAAGAAGAAGGAAGGAAGGAAGAAAATATTATAGTCTATTTATTCTTTAAATAGGGTAGGATCTCACAGGTCTCATGGGTCTCATGTTATAGCCTAGGCTAGCCTAGAACTATGTAGTCCAGGTTGGCCTTGAACTCACAACAATCCTCCTGCCTCCATCTCCTCAATGCTAGAACTATAATCATGAGCCACTAAACCCAGTCATAGGTCTTTAAAATGTTTATTTTTTATTTTTTATTTTGAACATTCTATGTCAGAAGCTGGTATATATATGTATATAATATATATTATGCATATATTATGAATATATTATATATGTATGTATATACATATTGTAGAATGTTACCATTTGAATAATTTAAAGTATATAATTCAGTGATAATGAGGACATCCCAATGTTTAAACCATTACCACCACTGTCCATGTCCTGAACTTTTCCTTCAGCACAAACAGAAACTCTGGTGCCATTAACACACTCCAGCCCCGTGATTCTACTTTTTGTCACTTGTGAATTTATCTAGTCCAAGTCTGAGTATTAACTAGAACCAGCTAGTACCTGAATTATTTCACTTAGGTAAGCTTGTTCCAGGTTCATCCACACTATAGCATGCATCAGCATCTCAGTCCCCTCCACAGCTTTGATCCAACTCAATATGCACAGCACACCGTTTATCTTCTCATCGCTACACGGACGCACGGGTTCCTTCTACCTTTTGGCTGATGTGAACAATACTGCTATGAACACTGCTGTGTGAGTGAGTGCCTGAGTCATCCCTCGGTTCTTTCTGATACGTACCCATCAGTGAAACTGCTAGGTCATATAATTCTGTTTCCCATGGTGGCTGCACCAGTCCACATTCCTAGCAGCAAGGCACAGGACTCTGTTTTCACATCCCACACAACACCTTTGTGTGTGTGTGTGTGTGTGTGTGTGTGTGTGTGTGTGTGTGATATAGATCTCTTGCCTGCATGTACGTCTGGGCACTACATGCACACCTGGTGCCTGCAAAGGCAAGAGGATAAAGTTTGATATTCTGGAAAGCTAGAGTTACAGATGATTGGGAACCATCATGTGAGTCCTGGGAATCAAACATTGTACCTTTGGAAGTGCTGCCAGTGCTCTTAACCAGAGACACATTTGTCAGTCCCATATACATATACATATACATATACATATACACATACATACATACACACACACAAGTAAAGACAGCTACCCAAAAGGACATGAAGTGGTATGCCACTGTAGTTTGGATGTGACACATCTGCCATTAGACATTTTGAGAGGAAGAACAACATGTCACAAAGTGTACTTTAATGACAGCATATGGAAAGACGAAGTAAAAAGAACTGGCCAAGAAACTACCACAATGTTCCTAAGGAGTGATTTAAAAAGAGTGATACATAAGGCAGAAGGGATGGAGAGGAAGTGGGCAAAAGATACGAAGAAGGAAGACTTAAGAGAACCTGGTAGCTGCCAGGGTGTGGAACAGCAGCGGGAGAGCAGAGGACACTGAAGGGGACGCTGAGCTGGGACAATGCGAGGACTTGGGAACCCGGTGCACAGCCTGGGGAGGAAGGCGCTGGGGAGGAGACCTCGAGGAGCAACCCACAGGCAGTCAGAAACTCAGGCTGAGTATGGGGGCGCACACCTTAATCCCAGCACTCAAGAGGCAGAGGCAGGTGGATCGCTCTGAGACCGAAAGAACTCTATGAGATCTTGAGGACAGCCTTGCCTATAGAGCAAAGTTCCAGGACAATCAGAGCTACTAGAGAAACCCTGTCTTGGAGAAAGACCTGGAAAAATCCAGAGATCCAGATAAATCTTTTAAATAAAGATTTTTTAAAAAGCCAAAATGCATAACATAGACAAGGAAGTAGGCACACATAGCAACCTTGGAGTCTTACACTGGAAACAGAGAGTGAACACTGAGAGGCAAGGGAGCATCTCAGAACTAAGGACAGAGTTCAAGAAAGTAGCTGCCAGTGTCTACTGCTGCAGCAAAACTTGTGTAGATGAAGATTAAGGAAAAAGCCCGTGCCTTGGGGATGATGGTCTTGCGGGGAGAAGAAGCATCGGCAGGGAGAAAGGTTCGGGAGGATGCACATAAGATCCTTACTGCCTGGAAAACAAGGTTTTTGAAGGAATGGGACTAAGGATAACGCAGGATCTACTTTGAGGAACTAGTCCATTCGCTGAGGCTGGAAAGGGGACAAAATCAAGAAGATTTTTTTAATTACAAGAAATTACTTTATGTGTAGGGGTGTTTGGGCTGTTAGCCACTTCAGCAACTCTCCAGACTAAGAAAGGAAAACTCTTGACTGGAAACGGCTCTCAATTTCAGAGTCAAAGACTTGAGAGTTTCTGTGTAACTTAGAGAGCACCAGAAACTATGTCAAATTCAAGAGCCCTTGCATTTTTGTTTTGTTTTACCACACTGGTCCTCCCATTTCCAGGAAAATGCCTGAAACTCAATTTTAGAGTTCATGGTTCACTAAAGCAATTTAGTGTTTTGTTTCCTTTTAACTGCAAGGTGGTTTAGCATTCTAGTTGGACATCCATCTGGCTGTATGTTACTTATGGCTTTTGTAGAGGGGCTGGGTCACTGAGTGAATCTTGCTGCTAACAAGTAGGCCCCAAGAGTAAGCCCTCTTTCTTAATGGCATACAAGAGGCAACAATAGCTGAGCTGTGTGTTGACTGGTTCGCATCTTTCTGTTAAGATGGAACTTCTAGGCTCTAGGGATCCTTCTGTCTCGTCTCCTGAGTAACTAGGACTATAGATGTGTGCTGCCATGCCAGGCTCTGTGCACTAGATAAACTGTTTGTGTTAAAGGAATGCTCTGGTTGCCACTCACACACCAAGATGGATAAAGTTAGTAGAAAGGATGCAGGTAAGTAGTCAACCTATCAAGACCTTGCAAACCTGTCAGAGCAGCTCAGTAAAAACTTGGAGTGAACTGTATTCTCTTTTACCAGTTTCAGCCCTCCTATTACCCTACCTGTCTACTTTCCCCCCCGTCCAGTGAGGACACAGGACCCAGTGTTTGTCAAGGTCCCGTCTAAGGTGACCACAGAGACAAGATAGAGGACGTATCACAGGGTGGGGAAGGTGGATAGTGAGCTGTCTTGTGGAGGACCTAGGTTCATTTCCCAGCATCCACATGGTGGCTCATAGTCACCTATAACTACATTTCCAGGGGATATGTCACCTTTTTCTGACCTCTGGTGCACACATATAGGCAAAAATTCACACAAGATAATAAATCTAAAAAACGATCTTAAAAGAATACTTATAAATAAAAGCTACTTGAAAAACTAAGCTCACATAAGAATAACGTAACTGTATTGATAAACATGGCTTATTCTAGTAAAAATTTAACAATGCAAAGTTGCTTATTGACTCCTGTATTTTTATGACTGAAATATTTAGATAACTACTTTTCTTTTCCTGTGTGATTCCGTGTGTGGATACCTGAAGAGGCCAGTAGAGGGCATCAGAGCCCCTGAAGCTGGAGTTAGAGGCAGTTATGAGCCTTCTCCCCTATGTGAGCGCTGGGAATAAAATTCAGGTCTTCTGGAAGAGCAGCAAGTGCCCACAGCATAGCCATGTCTCCAGCACCCTAACATTCTTTTTCGTTACATTTACTTATTGGGTGTGTGTCGGGGGCGGGTGCTCATGTGGAGGACAGAGGACAACTCGGGGGAGTCAGTCATCGCCATGTACCATGTGCGTCTCTGGGATTGAACTGAGGTCATGAAGCTTGGCAGTAAACCCCAATCCCACCCCAGCCAGGACCTGACAACTAATTTTCAGAGTGGCTAGACAGCAGTTAAGTAAGCTTGAGGGAAGGACAGGGATGGGGCGGGGCACAGGGTGTGAATGACAGCAAAGCTTCCAAGAATTAGACTTGAAGGGACAAATGCTAACTGAGCTGCCAAGTCTTCGACCTGGAGTTCTGCTTGTTACGAGACTCTGCTACCAACCCACACTTGCTACCAGCTTTCATGTCTCAGGCCGGGACTCTTAAATACAGTCTTCTCAGTGGATCTTCTCAGCCTCAGGCTCTGGTCTCTAATCTAATACAGCACTGGTGAAAGGCATCCTCCGAAGGCCATTCGGTAAAGAGCCTGTCAGAAGATGCACAGCTGGGCTTAAAAGGGCATGATTCCTTTAGCAGTCGGAGTCTGCCTTAGTTTACCCTCATGGCCTTCTCTGATCCGGCATTCCTTTCCTTCCATCTCATGAAACGCTTCTTTGCGTCCAGTAGCAGCCTGTCTGGCAACGCAGATGGGTTTGCTTGTTGCTCCTGCAGTGTTTGCTATTCCCCCACCCCATCCCCACACCACAATTCCTTTTTCTCCCTCCCACCCTGCTGGGTGCAGCTGAAAATCAACTTCACTACTGCCCATTTTGGTGGAACCCACAAATATTTACATTAAAAAAATATGCCAGGATAGGCAAGAAACTGCAGATGATGGAGACACCAAGCATTCACAAAGCTTCTAAGAGAGCAGGGAGACAAAGGGCGCTCAGGTTGTTTGTGCACAGTCTGACCACTGAGTCTTTTGAACCCATTAGAGCATCAAGAATAATAATGCTTAGCTCACTGTGGTGTCACCCGCGACCCTAGCACTAGTGAGATTGAGGTAGACACAAGTTTGAGGCTACCTTAGGCTCTATGTTGAGCCTGAGTTAAATTAATAAGACATTGTCTCAAAAAACAAAGAACATTTTCAAAACAGTACTTTACACACACAGGCATTTAATGAGCACAAGCAGGGTCATTAGACTAATCCAGATTTTTTTTCAACTCTGCTGCTTTACTTGGTCAAAGGTAAATTTTGTCATTTGTATGTCTTATGTATTCACTCTAGAATAGTCCAGTGTATTGGTTAAAAGCCGTTGTTTGCATGTGGCTGCCTTTGATTAGCTTTTTAGAAAACTAAGTAGCTAAAAGAAAGTACTCAAGAAATAGTATCTAAGGCAGAAGAAAGACTACAAAATCAGTTCTAGTTTGTAGTTTTTTTTCTACTGAAGGCTGAGATAGAGTGTGCTGGTTTTTGTTTTTCTTTAAGTATACTAAGCTACTATGTTAGTTTCTTATCAGATAACTTTAGCCCTTAGCATTGCTTTCCCCAAATCCAAATATTCCTGAATATGTATATTCAGCCTAAGAAAGTATCTAATAAATGTAACAACACATGCCTTTCAAAGGACCAGTGTAACCACTTTTCTGTCCCCTATTTGGTACCTGTTGGACTGGCCTGCACGTTTGTTGTCCTTCTTTTCCCTAAGACAGGATATCAGGGTGCCCAGGATGACCTCAAACTCTCATGTAGTTAAGGATATCTTTGGACTCCTGATTCTCTTGCCTGCATGCCTTAGAGCTGGTATCTTTTTTTTTGTTTGTTTGTTTTTTTTGTTTTGTTTTTCGAGACAGGGTTTCTCTGTATTGTTTTGGAGGCTGTGCTGGAACTCGAAAAGGGTGAGTTCCAGGTGCAGTCCCTATGAGGTATCCACTTTTCTGGGACCTGACTCAGAAGAGTGTAATTATTTCTTTTTCTTCTCTTCTGTTTTTTCCCCCTTTCTGGATGCTGGCCAGAGCCTAAGTGCTCTTTTTTTTTTTTTTTTTTTGGTTTTTTGAGACAGAGTTTCTCTGTAGCTTTGGAGGCTGTCCTGGAACTCACTTTGTAGACCAGGCTGGCCTCGAACTCACAGAGATCCGCCTGCCTCTGCCTCCCGAGTGCTGGGATTAAAGGCGTGCGCCACCACCGCCTGGCCCTAGAACTGGTATCTTAGGCATGTGCTAGCACACCTGCTTGCACCAGTGACGTTAAAGTACTATAAACCAGACCCACGAATGCACTTAACTTTCTGCGCCTGTGGTTCTTCCTTTTCTTTTCTTTTTTGAATAAAGAAAACATTTGTGCCTAAAATATAAAATTCTTTCAAAATCCCTAGAACTGGTTCCATTATTAATCATAAATTTGATTAGACTAATGCCATTTAGGAACATTTTAGGAATTGTCATCATGTATATTCATATTCTGCATGCAAAAATGATTTATACTAACCACTAACAAAAAAACCCTAATGAAACAGTAACAGAAACAAAGGAGGAAGCAAAACAAAGATATATAGAGGAAGTGGAAAACCCAGTCACATACATTGGTTTATTCAAGTGACTGCTTTTTTCCTAGCGCACATGTGTGTATGTATATCACATATATGCACTTGTAAGAGGTAGTAACTTTAAAGTCCTTTACACGTTTGGAGTGTAAGTGACTCCAAAATTAAAATACACGTGAAAAAAACTCCCAACACTTCTATTTCCAAAGATAACTTGGGATATTTAAAAATGAAAAGCTAATTTTACCTCGGAATGTGTGTTCTGTATGTCAGCTAATTAAACAAACTCAGACTGAGTCATGATAGAAATGGGGTGCAGACTTTCTGGAATCAAACATTTCGCTAAATAATAATGAACTTGTTACAAATGCCCCTTTGCCATTTTGGATACAGGAAGCACAGGGTAATAATTATCTGAACTATAACAAAGGGCAGATTTTTTTTTTCTCAAGAGCTCAATAAAGTCTGGAAGCTTTTGTAAAAAGAGCACACCGATTTTGCTCGGTGAATTCTTTGTTTCAAAATGCCTTTTTAAGAAGGAGACAAGCAAGTGTTGAGCTAATCTACAAGACAAGCTCTATCTCAAGACAATTACTAATTCAAAGATTTTCAAATCTTCCTATTTGTACGTGAAAAAAAAGGACACGACAGGATGCTTTATAAAGAGGAAAAAACAATAATACTCTACAGGCACTCTCAAAACGGTTGCTCCAGCTTTGTGACCAGATTGTCACAGCCTTCGCTCCAACAGTAGCTCAAGCCCAGAAAGCCTGGCAGGGAAACACCGGCTCTCGAGGCCCCGCGACAGGTGCGGCGGCGGCGCCTGCACAGGAGCGCACACCCCGCGGGTCCCCAGGACGCCCGCGCCCCGCAACCGCCGCCCCTGAGCCCGGCCACACCTGCCCATCGCGCCGACCCACTTGCGGGTCCCGTGCCCCCGTCCCGCCCCGCCCCGCCGACCCACCTGCCTGCCCCGCCGGGCCCCGCGCCCGCCCCTGCCGCGCCGCTGGCTCCGGCTCCGGGCCGCAGCGCCATCTTGCTCGGGCGGCCGCCGCGCCAGCAGCTGTCAGCCGAAGACAGGCACTTCCGGGGCAGACACCGCCCCACCAAGCCGGGGCCGATGACGGGGCGGGGCCGAGCATCCACGTGATTCCAGAGCCGTCGGGCACGAGCGGCGCGACCTCGTCGCGCGCTGCGGGATTCAAGCACTGTGGGCTTCGCGAGACAGACGGAGTCCCTTTGCAAATGCAGGTCTGCACTGATGCAGATTTTTGAACTGGATGACGGTACACAGGTGCTCTTTTGCTGTTCTTACACAATAGATGGATCCTGGACGGCCTTTTGACGGCTTTACAGCTGTTTTCCCTGGCAACCTTTTCAGCATCCATCACAGGCAATGGCGGTATTTAAATTTTACTCTAGTAAACCAACCAAGAGCACATAAATCCCATACACACGAAGGGGACATCCTCCAAGGTGCACCACTCTTGTGTTTGATTCTGCCATTGCGTCATGTAGTGTTTTCCCTTTCTCGGCAAGGTGCAGTAAGCACAATTATGCTAAACCTGTGCAGAGTATGTTTTTACCTTGACACTTTAGCTCCTAATCAAGCTACCTAGAAGTAAAGTATGTTGAGAAAAAACTTTCTCAAGTTCTTAACAGATTAATTACAATCAGTCCCTGCCACGGTTTGCCTTACAGCTTCCACTGACAAATTATAATAGGTTACTAAACATAAACCACCAGACAGGAATTTTATGTGCATTTAAAAGTCTGGTTTCCCTATAAGTTACTACTGCTATTTTACAAATGAGAAAAAATAATCTTGAAACTTCATGTAATATGCTCAGATCTCAGAGCTACAACCACCAAGACCAGGACTCAATGGGCCCTCTTTTCTTCTTTTTATTGTTTGGTCTTGACTCTATTTTCAGTCTTATTCTTCCTTGAACAAAGCTTTATTTGTGTAGCAGAGTCCTGACTGATATATAGGGGTTTAAGTTCACCAGTAACCCTTTATAAACCATGCTAATGTAGGTTTTGTAGCTACTGTATAGATTAGGAGGTTGCTTAGTGGAGAATAAAGAGCAAATAAGGAAGTAGATTAGGAATTGCCAAGGTGATCCCTTAGCATCCCTATCCTGCAGCCTTCCACGACATTCCCCATCTTAGTTCTGTTCAGATACTTCAGGATCATGGCCTTACACCACACAAGGTGTTCCTGTACTTCCTCACTGCCATTAATTGTAAGAGTGGTGCTGCTAGCAAGCCCTGTGTTCCTAAAAAAATATAAATAAACTTAATGTTTGTTGAAGGACTATTTGTTGTGAGTTTACAAAGCTTCAGACACGGAGCTCCTTTACATCTTAAGACACAGGAGAAACTGAAGCTCTAAGAAACTAAAGAATATACCAGGCAAACAGTTCCAACATTTTATCCACTTTAGGAGACGCACGGATTTGGAGATCTGCAAGAATAAAAATCTATGTACTTTTATTTTTACTCCCTGGAGCAGTCAATCTATTTAAATAAATTTTGACTAAAAAAAAATCTTTGTCCCATATATTCAAGTTAGTCTTCTCTCATGTCTGTATTCTCAGTAGTCAATGGGTTGAAACAGGAGGATCACTGTGAGTTCTAGGCCAGTCTGGGCTACAGAGATCCCTTCTCAAAACAAACACACATTAAAAAGGTCTCCTGTGCTGATTTTAGAATGAAGCATCAACTGCTGAGAGTAAAGGAAACAGGTTTAATTCAGATGCTGGCGGTCATCTGCACTGCAGTCCTGTGGCAGCATGGATCCCCGGGCAACTCTAGGTACCAGGTCTAAGTGCTTCAACATGTATCAAGCCTTTTTGAATTCCACTGTAAAGAACAAGAAATTAAGGAACACCCGCACATTGTGCACTGCCTTGGCCCGCATATGACCACACTCCTTTGGCAGAGGGTGGATGAAGGCTATCAAGCTTCAGCAAAGATAAGCCTCTGAGAAAATGAAGCCAGGTATATCCTGTAACAGGACTGTTTTTCCTTATCAGGATAAAACACTGTTGTCAGCTTTCATCTTGAATGGAAAGAGACAGGAAGACAGGAAAGAACATGTTAAATGATGGAGAATAAAGTCAAAGGGAGAGGACGATTATAACCCTACAGTTGCAACACTGTGACAGCCAAGCATGAACTTCCTTCCCAGCATGCTGAAGTACACTTCAACAGACTGAAGTTTCTAGTCCTCGGGAACTTGGATAGCCATAGATAAGGTACTTTCTGTGGTTCATACCACAAAAGCCATTAAAATAAACACTAAAGGAGCGCTAGACTTCTTCCTAGTGGATGGCCTGTGCTGCTCTTGTCCACATCAGAAACACAACACTCTCCATGCATGCAAGTGTGGATGGTGCATTCAAGCTCAAGATTTTATTTTAAAATTCTGTTCCAGATGCCTCTTCACAGCATGCTTCACACTTGAAGGGCAAAATCCTTAAGAGTTCACCACATTTGGGTGTTATTTTTAACATCAACTCTTTTTCTTCTATAAGAAGTATCTCTCTGATTCAGGCAGAAATGTCAATGCATGTTATTTCCATTGTATAAATTTCACCTACAAGGTGAAGCTTGCCCTGATGCATCAGTAAATTAGGAGAATTTTCTTCTCTCATGCCCTTGTTGATTTAATATGTTTGGTAAAGATGGCTGTTAAATAATCCATGAAAATTCATGCTGGGCTTATAAATTAAACTGTGGGGATAGTCTTCTAAGGTATCTATTTTTAACTTTTCTCTTCAAGAGTTTCTTTCTTCTTGCTGTTCTGGCCAGCAACCTTTCTCCTGTGAAAAGGAAGACACATCAAATCAGCAATTCTATATACATTTACTTCTATAACCAAGAACATAAATGAACATGTGCTGAAAGTTAGTGTACAGCAAAGCATATGAGGCACTGGGAACAAAGATGTTAGCTAATTCCATCCAGGATAAAAACCACTGTTCATATGAAAAACATCACAACCAACTCCACTATTACATAGCACAAAGGACAGTCTGATCTTGACCCCTTGGTTCAGTGTTAAGTACTAGACACTGCTGTTAAGTGTTGTTTGTACATGCATTAAGTCAAGGGATCTTCCTAACTCCCATTTTACAAATGAAGACAATGAGGTAGAATGGCTAAAAACTTGCTGGTCATCACACCTTAGTAATAAATATTAGGCATGAACACTGACAGTCTGTGAATGGTGAATGCATTAACTAGTGTTAATATAGAAAAAGGAAAAACTTAAGAGACAATAAATACTTGCATACTACAGTAAGAAGTTATTTGGACTGTTTGCTCATGTAATTTTTGGACCAACTAACTCCGAAAGCAGAGTTTGTACCTCCAATGCAAGCATTATATAATGGAGACAATTTTTGAGAGACAAGAACTTGCCCAAAGTCACCCAAGAAAGTCCCTATCAGAATCTATTTTAAGCTTCAAATCCAGATCTACCCCTCATCACACCAGGTTGGGGCCGCAGGACCTGAATGAAGTGAGGCCACTAGATAACAAGGAATCAGGTTCCAAGTTTAATGTGGAAGCTGAGATGAAGACATGAACTTATATGCCCCAAAGCCACCCACATCTGTAATGGAGAAGGGGCAGGAACTAGATCATGATGGATATTGTTCTTATGCTAAGGACAGCCTTTAAATTAGGAGAAAACAAAGAAAATTAAAGCACCTTTCTGTGTGGCTGGTACCACAAGACTGACACCAGTATCCCAAAGTCCTCTTATAGCTAAGTTTTAATTAGCCCAGAATGCTACGAACACAAAACATTTAAGGTACAATTACTCAAAACAGTGTTTTATATAAATAAAAAAACCACTGCTGCATCCTATTAAAATCTAATAGCCTCCATCTTTTGCCCCAGCTGACTTTCAGCCTCTAGAAAAACCTCCACAGGCTTCTACTCAGTACCAGAGTCAGCACATGTTATCTTAGCTCTCAGCTCTCCCAAGGAGTAAGACTCTGATACATGCCTAATAGTCCTCATGACATTCTAGATAAAGTCTGTGCTCCACAAAGACTACACACACACACACACACACACACACACACACACACACACACACACACACACCACACACACAGAGGCCCTACAACACCATATTAAAAATTCATAAAACTGAGAAAGTACCAAAAAGTACCAATGGAATTTAAACTAGTAAGCTTCCAAATCTTTTAAGTCTGTGGTGCTTATTCCTCCATGTTAAATCTTGAGAACCCACCAAAACTCCGGGACACTGTGCACTGTCAGCCCGGGAGTGAACATTTCCAGAGTACTAGAATGTCGTGCAAGACTCCTGTTCTTCTTACAAGGATGGTGCACAGTTTCATACCTTTACATACTTTGTTCTTTCTAAAGAACTAAATTTCATCTTTTCTTAGACACCTCTACCACTTTGAAACTTCCTGTAACTGTTCCAGCCCTTTGTTTAGGATCCTCTAATGAAACTGGGATTGATATGTAAAAGAAGCTTGTTTCTAACTTAAATTAAAAAAAAAAAAGGGAAAACAAAAGTATTATTATAAAAAAAAATCCTCTAATGTTCTCAAATGGCCTGTTTTATAGTCTCTATCACACCAGCATCAAGTGTTCTGTCGTGAATGATGTAGGTCTATGGAACAGTTTACCTAATGGCTTTTCCCACCAAGTTTAAGGTAATGGAAAGAAGCATTAGCTTACTTCACAAAGCATCCTGGGACACCAATGGCACCCTCAGGAATACACACAAGAAATCACTAGAACTGAGCAATTCTATTAGAGCACATGTTACTCTAGTACTGAGAAATTTGTGAAAAGTGCAATTTTCTTTAACTAGGGTAACAGAACTCAGAAGAGTCTGGCAAACTATGAAAACATGTAGCTTCCTAGCACTAATAGACAAAACATACCTGTATGTATCCTCCAAGACCTATGCTAATACCCTCCAAAAAAACCTTTAAGTAGTCCTTTTTAAATGTTACAGTGCACCTCAATGTAAGCAGAGGATTATATGAAATCCTGCCCAGGAGATGGAAACTTCAAGAACTGCTCAATCAATGCCTGTCAATGATCCTAACTACTGGCTTCAGTAGGATGACCTGATACAGATGGTACAAAGAGTAGGCAATGCAATTCTAATTCACAGCAAACTGTAATCTATTTTTAAACATGGGGGGAAACCCAGGTGATTAACATACGGATACAGAAAAATTTTAACACTGAAATATGCAAATTCTCAAAGAGGCAACCTGAAACACATTTCTATTATATCTTATAATGGATTACCTATCTATTCATTTTACTTCTAGAAATGTATCTTAAGGAAAAACAATGCCCACTCTATGTGGTACTTTTCTTACCATATATATACTTACTGTTTAGCTTGTTCTAAGAAATATTTTGGAGTTGTACTAATACTCTCCCTTTCCAATGGTTTCTTAATCATCTTTTTCTTTTGTTTGCTGGAAGTTAGGAAGTGAGAAAGGAAATTAATTAAACACAAGATCATTTAAAAGCTAAAGCTAGGTGAGGCTATACACATTTCAATGAAGCAGATTAGCTGATAGCTCTTACAACTATTTCATAAGTATACAGGAAATCAGTCTTTAAAAAAACATTGGCTATGATTAAAATACATTCTGGGACTACCTCACAATGTCTATGTCAGTAGACATTAACAGTGTGACTCCATAAAATTAACCATCACTAATAAGTCTAAGCATATCTCACTCACTGAATAGTTTTTTAAAAAATCTGAATTTCAAAGATGAAAAAGCTGATGAGGAAATAATATATTCTAAAGCAAAATGTTTAACAGTATCACTTACAATAGATGTATCATGGATACAGCCTAAATGACCTACATAGGGACAGGTAAAATGTGGTAGGGGCTTTGAGCAAGGAAATTCTGACTAATAGACATTGTGCAAAGTGAAATAAGTCCACCACAAAAAGACAAATACTATGTGGTTCCACTAATATGAGGCATCCAGACAGTCAAAACCAGAAACAGCAAACAGAACAGAACAGTGGTTGCCAGGACCTAGGAAAAGGTTAAGACTGTTTAATGGGTACAGAGGTGCAGTTCTGCAGGAAGAAGAGTCCTGGAGACAGGTAGCAAGTGCACAGGACTGAATGCAGTGTGCACTCAGCCACACACAAGGGAAACTGAACAGAGTTAGGCAGCACACCCAGTTGATGCTGTTACAGAAGCCATGCTACAGCACGCTCACAGTTTTTTACTTTATGATGCAAAGTGACACCTGCTCAGTATTTGACCTTCACAGCACACATCAGGTGGCACAAAATTCTTTAGCAATGCTGGATGGCAGCAGGGAATCAAAGCCCCAAGTGAGTCACTCAACAATGAGGATGACAGATACTCTAGAAAGGTGTGGTGATCTATGCCTGTAATCTCAGTAGTTAGGATAGTCAAGGCAGGAGGATTGCTGTGAGTTTCAGACCAGCCTGAGTACAAACTGAGACCCTATTTAAAAAAAAACAAACAAAATTACATAAACTGTGAAATCCTACAGCACACTGGGTTACTACACTTAGATATCTGGTAGACTAGATACATTTAAATTAATTTTCTACTTATAATATCTTCAATTTAAAATGAGCTTAGTGGACCTTAACACTTTTTTGTGTTGTTTTGTTTTTGTTTTTAATTTTTTTTTGGTTTTACAAGACAGGGTTTCTCTGTATTGTTTTGGAGGCTGTCAGTCCAGCCCAGCCTCGAACTCACTGAGATCCACCTGCCTCTGCCTCCCGAGTGCTGGGATTAAAGGCGTGCGCCACCACCGCCCGGCATTTTTTTGGTTTTTCAAGACAGGGTTTCTCTGAATTGCTTTGGAGCCTGTCCTGGAACTCGCTCTGTAGACCAGGCTGGTCTCAAACTCATAGAGATCCACTTGTCTCTGACTCCCAAGTGCTGGGATTAAAGGCGTGTGCCACCAACACCCAGCTAACTTTAACCCTGTTTTAAGTCAAGGATCATCGGTATATAAGATTAAAAATGTAAAATTTGTCAGGCATAGTGGTGTACATTCCAGCATTATAGAACAGAGGCAGGCAGATTTCTATGAGTTCAAGGTTATCCTAGTCTACCGAGAGAATTCCAGGACAGCCAGAGCTACAGAGTGAAACCCTCTCTCCAAACAAACAAAAACATGTAAAATTCAACAATGCACCATTCTGGGATATATATACTTAAACTGCAAATTAAATAAAGGCAAGAGGGAAGAAACAAAGTAAGCAAAAAGCAAGAATGTATCTGTAAAAACCCAAAGAGAAGGTTTCAAGTAAGTTTAAATGCATACCTTAATAGTTTCTGGAAACCTTTTATGTATTCAGGTACAGGACAGCCAGCCTGCTGGATAACATTGGCAACACTGAAAAAGGAACCCATAAACAGGGATGTGTCTTGTACAATACAAAATCAGTCATGTACAAAACCTTCTGTACAACATAAGAGGAACTAAAACTACCCAAAAGTATTCCAGCACTGTCTTCTCAGAGAATACCAATTACTGTCAAATGAACCATAGTGGATTCCTGAGAGAAGCATTCATGGAACTTGAATTTGATATACTGATGAGTAACTTTAGGTAGCAGCTATTACAAATCCTAAATCAAAATAGAGGTAAGCCAGAATTCATTAAGTGACAGTGCTTACTAAAGGGTTGGCACTCCAAGATTTCTACATATAATAACCTATTTAGTCATCACAATGGCTTGATGGGGAAACTAACGGTCACAGTTACACAGATGTCATCAGTCACATCCTTGTGGTTATTAAGGCCTTAGACCCATCGAGGCTCTTGTAACATACTCCTACATATGGACATGTGAAAGACAAAGGGTGACATAACAGAGGCTTTGAAGGTATACATCAAACTCATCAGAACTGATAAACAGACCAGAGTACAATCCCTTTGCCTTAACTGCATTTCATTTGTTAGAAATGGTAGATGCCATCGGTTATCCTTCAACCAAAAATCACTGTAGGCAGAGAACACCGAACCTTTATAGCTGGCAGTGTTGGCACAAGCCTGAAATACGAGCATTTAGGTGGCTGAGGCAGGTAGGTTGTAAGTTTCAGACCAGCCTCAGTTATTTAGTGAAACCCCATCTCCAAAAGCTGAAATCTGCATAAAAATCTATAATGACAGGCTATGTTAAGACCTGAGAGTCTAAAAGTATATGATATCCAGACTTCAAAGAGCTACAACTAACTAAAAATAAAATGTGTCACTAAAATATTTTTTCCTCTGTAGCAAATGATTCTTGGACTAAATATAAAACTCCATCTGGCCCCAAGTAAGGAAAGGATGCACCATGGTAAAAAAGAATGTTGATTGAAGTGACAAGCCATATATAGTATTCGATAACTCAAAAACCTTACTAATAAGCCAAGTGTGGTGGGATACTCCTGCATTGATTTGGGAGGCCCAGACTCTAAGTCTGAGGATAGTCCATGCTACTCAGAGACCAAAGTACACAGTAAGACCCTGTCATTCTCTCTCTCTCTCTCTCTCTCTCTCTCTCTCTCTCTCTCTCTCTCTCTCTCTCTCTCTCTCTCTCTCTCTCTCTCTCTCTCTCTCTCTCTCTCTCTCTCTCTCTCTCTCTCTCTCTCTCTCTCTCTCTCTCTCTCTCTCTCTCTCACACACACACACACACACACACACACTTTCCCTCCCACTTACACCTTAATATCATGCAGTAAGGATGCTGGCTCTCAGAGGAGTTCTGTTACTCTGAAACCAAACACTGAATATTCCACTGTCAATGCTTCCAAGTCCTAATAGAGGAAGGGCAAAAACACAGCTCTTTGATCTCTCCCCTGATCCTTAGGACAGGGTTTACTATACAGCCTCTAACAGAATTTGGGACATAGACATATTTTTTATTATCTACTAATAAAATATACACACAAAAATAATGAAGCAATTTTGTCAACTGCAACTAAAATAGTTATATTTCATAATTTACATGCTTCTTACATTTTGGGGGAGGGTAGGGTGGTAGGACTGACGCTGGAATCAAAATATACCAGACAAGAGCTCTACCAACCGAGCTATACCTCAGCCACTAATTTACCTTCTTAATAACGGCTTATCATCTTCAGTGAAAAATGTAACAGCCTTTCCCCTATTCCCTGCTCTTCCAGTTCGACCTAGGAGAAATCAAACCACAAAAAGCTTTTGTTTCTTACTGGAAGGACATTCTCAAGGTTCACATAATGGTCACTGAGTGTTGGAGAGATGGTTCAGTGGACATATCATTTGCTGCACAAACATGAAGATATGAATTCAAATCCCCAGAATCCACGTAAAAGCTAGAAACAGTAAAAATGTGCCTGTAATTCCTATGTCCCTAGTTAAGATGGGACGTAGAGATCAGGGAATCCATGCAAACTCACAGGCCAATGACCCTGATATATATAATGATGGACAAGAAAGTCCCTGCCTCAAACACATGGAAAGTTGAGGACCAACACCCACACCATGAGCATGCTTGCACACACCATTAAAGTAAGAACCGCTCCCCAAAGTCACTGGATTTTCATAGAACCAAAGAGTGAATAGAGGTGCTGAGAAAGATGAGAGGACAACAGGGCATGAAGACAAAAGGCTCACCTATCCTATGGATGTATTCCACTGAGCTGGTTGGAAAATCGTAATTGATGACCAGGTTTACGCCTTTAAAGTCAATCCCTCTTGCGAGCAAGGCTGTACAAATAAGAACCCAGATTTTACCTGCTCTGAAGCTGTGGACTGTGTTATCTCGCTGGTGAAAGAAGACATGTTAAATGCTTTAGTACCATTCTAGAGTGGAAAACAGGCAGTGTATGTTTGTAGTACAGTTGACTTTCTACCTGCTGTTGTGTCCTTTCTGCATGAATGACGTCCACATTAATACCTTCATATATGAGCTCATGAAAAAGTTCTTTAGCCCTTTCGATGGACTGAACAAAAACAAGAACAGGTGGATTGAAACCCTAGGAGAAAGAGGCAAAATTTATATGTATAACTTAGAAGAACACAATCAGTATTTCATAATATGTTTTCAGTTCACAAATAAGCCATTCAATTTGATGCACTGTCCTGGCAAGTTTTATGTCAACCTGACATAAAACCAGAGTCATCTGGGAAGAGGGACTAACCACTGAAACAAAACAAAACAAAACAAAAAAACCAAAACAAAATAAACCTCCACAAGATTTGCCTGTAGGCAAGTCTGTAGTGTATTTTCTTAATTAATGATTGATGGGCCAATCTCTAGGCAGGGGTCCCAGAGTGCTATAAGAGGGTAGGCTTGCCGGGCGTTGGTGGCACAGCCTTTAATCCCAGCACTCGGGAGGCAGACGGATCTCTGAGTTCAAGGCCACTGGTCTACAGAGTGAGCTCCAGACTGGCTTCATAGCTACTGAAACAGAGTGAGCGAGAGAGGGAGAGAGGGGGAGGGGGGAAGGGAGAGGGAGAGAGAGACAGACAGACAGACAGAGAGGGAGGCTGAATAAGCTAGTGGGCAGCAGGCGATGAAGCAGCACCCTTCCATCGCCTCTACAGCAGTTGCTGCCTCCAGGTGCCTGTTCTGACTGTCTTCAATGATGGACTCTAATGTGAAACAGTAAGCCGAAATAAACCTTTCTTTCCAAGTTGCTTTATTTTTGGTCACAGTGTTTTATCACAGCAATAGAGATTCTAAGACACGCACTTCTACTCACAGTGTCTAAATCTGCCTCCATCTTCCTCATCATCTACCCTCTACAATGGGTTCTTTCCATTGTTTTTGGACTGTATTCTTTATCTTACTAATTCCAATAAAGTTGCTTTCCTACAATAATGTGTGCTCATGCTAAAACCACCACTTCCTAGCTCCAGAAGTTTGATTCTGCTCATAATGTAAAAACCACATCTAACTTTAGAATTTCCCTGCATCTTAATAAAGATTAAGTTCTAGTTGTCTCAATGTAAACAAATAAAATTCCCAATCCCCTGATCATTAACTAACAGCTCTCAGCACACTATTTTTACATTTGTTGTCATCAAACACTCCCTATACCCCACCTCATGTTCCCAAATGTCCCTATCAGTGACTCTTCCTTTTTGCTTTGTTTATACTCTTTGGGGATCTAATGAAAGAATAAAGCTTTTTAACTGCAAATAGATTTTCCAGAGATCTTACATGACTAAAAATCTCTGATCTAATTTCACTATATCAATACCTGCAAAAATCTTAAATTTTCTAGGGGCAAAATGACATCCTTAAGAATGTCAATAAAGGGCTGGGCATTGGTGGTGCACGCCTTTAATCCCAGCACTCGGGAGGAGGAGGCAGGTGGATCTCTGTAAATTCAAGGCCAGCCTGGTCTACAAGAGCTAGTTCCAGGACAGCCTCCAAAACAATACAGAGAAATCCTGTCTCAAAAAAAAAAAGTCAATATAGGGCTAGAGAGACGGCTCAGAGGTTAACAGTACTGGCTGCTCTTCCAGAGGTCCTGAGTTCAATTCCCAGCAACTACATGGTGGCTCACAACCATGTATAATGAGATCTGGTACTCTTTTCTGGCATGCAGGCATACATGCAGGCAGAACACTGTACATAATAAATAAACCTTTAAAAACTGAGCTTTGGAGTGGGATCCTAATTCAATAAAATAAAAATAATCCCAGGAGTACATATACATAGGCAAACATTATTATAAGTACTAGTATAACACATTAAATATTAGAATAGCTTTTTGAAGTAGATATTATATCATTTACAAAGTAAAAACTGCAGAGTTGGGGTCTATGGGAGGTGAGCTGCCCAAAGGTAGAATGGTACCCCCAGCTCAGAAGCCCATGTCCTACTCCTAAGGCACAGCACCCAAGGATGTATAAATGCCTTTCTTTTCCATTTTCCAACCATCCTAACTGCTTCCACTAAGGCAGTTGCCATATTTTTGTTCATCTTTAAGAATATATTCCAAAAAGCAGCCTTGTAATTTATATTTCTTTTTTTGCTCCTTACCCTGAACCCAGTAGTTGATTTATTTTTAAAATTTGAGCCGGGCGGTGGTGGCATACACCTTTAATCCCAGCACTCGGGAGGCAGAGGCAGGCGGATCTCTGTGAGTTCGAGGCTGGGCTGGACTGACAGCCTCCAAAACAATACAGAGAAACCCTGTCTCATAAAACAAAAAACAAACAAAAAAATTGAAGATTTATGTGTATGAGTGTTTTGCCTACATATATGTATGTGACCATGTGTGTACCTGGTGCCCACAGAGGTCAGAAGAGAGTGTCAGATGTCCTGGAACTCAAGTTACAGATGATTGTAAGGCACCATGTGGGTAATGAGAATTGAACCCAGGTTCTCTGCTGAGCAGTAAGGACTCTTAACCACTAGAAAACTCACTCTTTAAACTTTCTAACCAAGGATTCTATTTAGTACTTACTTTGGAATAAAAAAAGAAAACCAGACACAAGGAATTATTCATTACTAAGTGCCCCAGACAATCTCTAGCAAACCAACAAAGACAAGGGAACAAAGGGGACATGGATTAGTAGATGGAGAATCAAGGTATCACCAGGTAGATCTTCTACTCAAGCAAAGAACAGAAGACTCACCACCACTGGATCATTAAGAATGAATCAACACTAAATATAATGCCGATGATGACAGAAAATGAATGTCCTTCACCAAAAGTCAAGTACACAGTCCAACATACCTTTTTCACAAGTTCTCTCATGGCCAAAAGTTTTCCAGTCTCAGAACCGACGAAGAGCAGTTCTTGTTCAACAGTCTCGACTGCAGAATTCCTAAGAAAAAGCACTTTTAAGAATCAAATTTGAGCTAGGCACGCTAGTGAGGACCTGTGATCCCAGCTCCGGGGAGGCTGGCCCAGGTTTCTGTGAGTTTAGGCTAATTTTCTGGGACACATAGTAAAGCTTTGTCTCAAAAAACCCAAACAGGCCACAGGGGTGGCATAACGGGTAAGGTGCAAGCTATGTAAACTGGCTAGCCTGAGACTCAATCAATTCCTGACAGTGTCCTCTGATCACCACATATGCTTTCCTTCCTTCCATACACGGACTCTGCGATCTAACTCAGGCTGGTAGGCTTGGTGGAAAGCATGTCGAGCAATCTTGCCAAACAAGGTTTCACTTTGAACTTAAAAAAAACAAAAAACAAAAAACAATGATTGTGTAATTTAATTTAGCATGAAATGCCTATCTACCTATCTCTTTTTCAGTGCTGAAGAATGAAACAGAGACCTCATGCTAAGTAACTGCTCAATCACTGAACTAGATGCCTGGTACTTAACAAAATCATGTTTTGTACAAGAATCACTTATCAAGTAGTTAAGTAACACCAGCTTGTTCCTACTTAAACAAACAAAGAAACTAAGTATGGGTGGCCACAGAGCTTACAATATATTTTGTGAATGAAATAAAGGTACAATGATGGGAAGAGTAACATGGAAACATCAGAATCTTTCATCATGCAAATCTGAGGGGAAAAAAATCCTTAATTTTGACTTTTAAAAACACATTTTTAGGGGCTGAAGAGATGGTTCAGTGGTTAAGAGCACTGACTGCTCTTCCAGAGGACCTGGGTTCAATTCCCAGCAACCACATGGCAGGGGATCTGACAACTTCACACCAATGCACATAAAATGAATTTAAATAAACTATTAAAAAAGCCTCATTTCTTTTTTCTTAAACATATTCATTCATTCATTCATTCATTCATTTTTATGTACAAGTGGAGTGCTCTGTCTGCCATATATGCCTGCATTACAGAAGAGAGCATCAGATTTCATTGCACATGGTTGTGAGCCACCACGTGGTTGCTGAGAATTGAACCCAGGTCCTCTGGAAGAAGAGCCAGTGCTCTTAACCTCTGAGTCATCTCTCTAGCCACTGATGACCTGAGCTGATTCCCAACACCCACATCTAGGGGCTCTCACATCTTTGACCTTGTATTCATGTGCACATACCACCCCCCACATGCACATACTAAAATAAACACACACACACACACACACACACACACACACACACACACACACACACACAGACACAAACACACACACTTCTATCAGTAAAATTTTTCTTGCTTGTTGGTGTCATGCCAAACAAACTATCTCATTAAGTCAAAACAAACATAAAATCTTACTTTAAGAGAAGTGAGTGGGATAACATAAAGAACAGATATTTACCTTGCTCCGATGGAAACAGTAACGACATTGTCCAGGTTGAGCTTGCACCACTGCTCGACATCATATGCAAAGGTTGCGCTGAACATTGCTCTTTTGACCTTGTGGGATGTGCAGGCCAGGAAAATGGAAGCCAGCTGGCCTCTAAACCCAGTTTTACCATCTTCAAACAGTTTGTCTGACTCATCTACTACCAGCCATTCAACACTAAGAAATAGCAAAACAACCTGTATTATTGAACTAGAAGATCTGGGATAATTCATCCAGGATACATGAAAAAATACATGTCAGGATACATGAAAAAAAAAGTCCCATAATGATACTGGGTTTTTTGTTTTGTTTTTTCAGAGACAGGGTTTCTCTGGAGGCTGTCCTGGAACTAGCTCTTGTAGACCAGGATGGTCACGATCTCACAGAGATCCGCCTGCCTCTGCTTCCCAAGTGCTGGGACTAAAGGCATGCACCACCACCACCACCACCCAGCAATGATGCTGTTTTTGATTGAGTTCATCAAATGAGAAAAAAAATATACAAGAAAAATTAGCACAAAACATGATAAATGTAGCTCAGTCACTTATTTTAAATCCTCAAAGACAAGCTGTATTAGCAACAACAGAAGATTCCATTGCCTTTGCTGAAATATGTGAAAAAGGTCTGGGTGATTATGTACTGTTTATCAAGTGTGTAAGTTTCTTCCTGACCAATTGTTTTTTTCTATTAGTTAATTAAAGCTATTATATTCTGAGCATTACACTGACACAAGCTGGCAGGCAGTATGTGCCAAAGGACAATAATAAAAGCAACTGAGAACACAATATAACCATGACGGAGGACACTGACTGTCAACCTGACAGGACCCAGAATTTCCAGAGACAAGCCTCTGGGCTCATTGGTGAGAATTACCTACACCAGGTTAATTGAGGTCAGAAGACACACTGTACGAACCACACCACTGGTTGAGGTCCAGTACTGAATAAAATAGAGAAGGCAAGCTAGGCTCCAACAGCTGTCATTCTCTGTTTCCTAACTATGGATGCAAGGAGAACTGGTGCCTCACCCTCTGGCCCCAATGACACAATGAACTATATCCCTTCAAACATAACCCTGTCTTCCTTCCTCCTTAAATTACTGTTTGTCAAATATTTGGTCACAGTAATGAGAAAACTAATAAAATAAGCAGGTGAACAAAAGACTAGCATGCTGTACCTTGTCAGGTCTATCCCTGGTGGATCCTGCTTTAACAAGTAGATCAGTCGATTTGGAGTAGTCACAAGAATATCTATAGGAAAATTAGAAATTACAAAAGTAAGATGCATTCCTTTGAGTACAGAATTAAGCCTTCAGAATTTCAGTTAATAACCTTAAGTAGGAAGGGAAGAGCAGTTAAATACAAAAAGTCTTGCTTGTTAGTAAGCCAACACACATTTTTCCCCTTCATCATAAAACTCTCTATTTGTACTCTATTTTATTTCAGCAGCTTCCCCAACCTTCTCGTTGCCTAAGACAGAGTCTTGCTATGCAGTTGAGACTCCCCAAACTCATGATCACTTTATCCCTGCCTAGTGCCAGGCTAGTTGCTGTGCTTCTCCCCACCCCAGGAGCAAAAGCCAAGGCCTTCTATTTATTACACATGCTAGGCAAAAGTTGTACCAACTTATTATACTGCAGCCATTTCAGCTTTCTTTTTTTTTGGGGGGGGGGATTAAGACAGGGTTTCTGTGTGTAACAGCTCTGGCTGTCCTGCAACTCACTCTGTAGACCAGGCTGGCCTTGAACCCACGGAGATCTGCCTACTTCTGCCTTCCAACTGCTCGGATTAAAGGAATGCGTCACCACCACCTGATCAGTCATTCCAACTTTTTCGAGACAGCGTTTCTCTGTATTGTTTTTGGAGCCTGTCTTGGAACTCGCTCGGTAGACCAGGCTGGTCTCGAACTCACAGAGATCAGCCTGCCTCTGCCTCCGAGTGCTGGGATTAAAGGTGTGCACCACCAATGCCTGGCCCTTTCCAACTTTTAAGAGGCAAAACTATATCATCCTAAGCCCAGGCTGGCCTAAAAACTTCTCTGATCCTCCTGCCTCAGCACTAGGACTGCAGGTGTGTGTCACCATGCTTGGATAAAAATCTTGAATGAAATCTTTCTCAGAACTCAAGTTAAAAAGCAAATTCTCTGGTTCATTAAAGGGGAGCCATGCAATCCATTCTCACCTGCAAGGCATTTCCACAGTAGATTAGAAATCAAGGGCACGAGGTAGGATTTCCCAAGCCTAGCACTGCTGATATGTTGAGTCACACAACTTTCTATAGACAGCTGTCTAGGGCATTGTAGGGGGCTTATCAGTATTTCTAGCCTTCATCCACAATGGGCTATTGGTTTCCCAGCTGTAACAACTACAAATATCCAAATGTACTGTGGTGACTGTTGTAATTTAAGAAAAGTGGCGTGCAAGAGGTAGACACTATGCACCAGGGTTCAACCAGAGGGGTTTTTTATTAGGGAAAGGGATCACAAAAGGGGGAATGGGAAGAGGGAGACCAGCTTCCAGGGATAAGAGCAGCAAGAGAGGAAAGAGGTGGAGAAAGGAAAGGGGGGTGACAGGACACATGGGGGACACAGGACAGGACACACAGACAGAGAGAGGGCAAGAAAGAGAAAGATAGGAGGTGGACAGGGCCCTTTTAAAAGGGAACATAGTGAATATGCACAGGTGGTGCTCTTCATGGCTGCAGCTGAGGGCGTGTCCTGTCAGAACCCCAAGGACAGTCCAGAACAGATGCCTGAATACTAACAGTGACTAGTGGGGAGAATCTGCTGGGATATAAGCACAGATCTCCTGGGGGAAATGAGGGGGTGGAGTAGGGTGGGAGGAATCTATGTTTATCTTCTTTAAAAATAACTAATTAGCTAGGCGGTGGTGGTGCATGCTTTTGATCCCAGCACTCAGGAGGCAGAGGCAGGTGGATCTCTGTGAGCTTGAGGCTAGCTTGGTCTACAGAGAGAGTTCCAGGACAGCCAGAGCTGTTACATAGAGAAACCCTGTTTTGAAAAATAACAACAACAACAACAACAACAAAAAATAAAAATTAATTAAAGCCAGGTATGGTGGCCCATGCCTTTAATCTCAGCACTCAGGAGGCAGGTGGATCTCTGAGTTTGAGGCCACCCAGGTCTACAGAGCTAGTTCCTGGACAGTAAGGAATACACAGATAAACCTTGTCTCAATAAAATAATTACAAGCTTAGAGATGTGCCTGAGTTGGTATAGTATTTACCCATCATTCATAAAGATCTAGATTCCATTCCCAGCACCACATAAACTCGGTGGTGGTATACATCCCAGCACTCAGGACTGGGAAGCAGGAAGGTCAGAAGTTCAAGGTCATTCTCAACTAGATCTGAAGCTAGCATGACTTACATGAGATCTTGACTTAAAAAAACATCTCTCTCTCCTGACTTGCACTGTAACAACTCTTACACTGCAATTAGCACCACCTTTATTATTTCCAAATCCCTTAGATACACTAAGCAGGAAGTTCTTACCAAACTTCTTGGATGATTTAGGTCCAAATCTCTTAGCTGCTATTGCAGCTTTGTGGATCATATGTATCCTGAATCCTGTGCCCTCAGATATTTTAATTAACTCTCTGTGAATCTAAAACAAAAAAAGAGAAAACCAAAGTGGTTAAGACACTAGGCCAGGCCGGGCATTGGTGGCACACACCTTTAATCCTAGCACTTGGGAGGCAGAAGCAGGCAGATCTCTGTGAGTTCGAGGCCAGCCTGGTCAACAGAGTGAGTTCCAGGATAACCTCCAAAGCAATTCAGAGAAACCCTGTCTCGAAAAACTAAAAAGAAAGAAAGAAAGAAAGAAAGAAACAAACAAACAAACAAACAAACTAGATCAGGATGCACAACTTCATTTAACACATCTATTATCAACCCACAGATGAAACCTGCAGTGCTCTAGTTGAAAGGACTCAATCTTCCTCAAGATCCTAATTTAGTCCATGAAACAACAGCAAACTCCTTCCATGTGCTGCAGTGTTCACAGCCCAGTGTTGACCATCCTCCTGCACAGCATGTGCTTACTCTTCACACTGGAACCATAGAACTCATCAACGGAGAGCTCCTACTTTCTCAGAGAATGAAGTAGTTTCTTTTATTTTCTTCTTTTCTTCAGACAAGGTCTCACTATGTAGCCCTGGTTGGCTTAAAGCTCACAGAGTTCCATCTGCCTCTGCCTCCAGGGTGTTGGGACTAAAGACTGAGACTTATGTAAAAAAAAACTGAAGATGACTCTGAAATATTGATCCTCTTTCTTCCTCCCCCCAATGCTGGAATTACAGGTATGAGCCACCATGTCCATCAATATTTCACTTTTCTGGATGAAAAAAACAAAATTTCAGCGATGAATATATCACTGTACCTTTTCAACCTCAAAGATCTTGGGAGCCTTTATAAAGAAGGATAATTGTCAAAATCACATTTCATAAAATTATAGACTTTTCAAAGACCAGCCCATATGCTGTAATATATAGAATACTTTCTACGGGACACTAGACCACGACGGACAAAATTTTTTTTTCTTTTTCTGTTTTTCGAGACAGGGTTTCTCTATAGCTTTGGAGTCTATCCTGGAACTTGCTCTGTAGATCAAGCTGAACTCAAACTCACAGAGATCCACTTGTCTCTGCCTCCTGAGTGCTGGGATTAAAGGAGTGCACCACCACTGCCTGGCTGGAAGACATTTTTCTGAGAGTTTTACCAACTTAAGCAAGAAAGGTATCAAAGCAAACATGAATGCATTCTCTCAAAACTCTATGTCATAGTCATACCTGGCTGGCAAGTTCTCGAGTTGGGGATATAACCAGGGCTCGAAAGCCTTTATTTGCAGGTTGTTTCAGCTGCATTAAAATGGGAATGCTAAAAGCCAAAGTCTTCCCAGATCCAGTAGGAGCAGAAGCCAGAAGTTCTCGACCCTAACAACAGAACACAGTAAGCACAGGAAAAGTTCATTAAGTTTTTAGAGCCTGGTCAAACCAATGTGAGCATATATGGAAATAACAAATAAAACTGAGTATGCCTTGGGAAGATTTTGCTAAATAATACAATGTGTGAAGATTAGAATAGTGGCTAATGACCTAGGTGACAAGAGTGTTTACAGGAAACAATCTTCTTTTTTTTGTTTTTTGTTTTTTCCCCTGGGTAGGGTAAGGTAAAGAATGAACAAGCAGGGCACAACAGAATTTTCTGAGAAATGCACATCTCCATTAGAAAACAATTACATTACGTAGGTTACACACTGTTCAGACTTACTAAACTAAGCTTAAAGTTGGTGTGGTTTATTGTATGTAAGGGATATTTCAATAATAAAGAGTATTGGGGGCAAAGTTGAAATATGGACAAGAATGTTAAAAAACTAGGAATGAGAAGACAAAACAATTGGCATACTCAGAGGGTTTGAATGCTTCTTGAAAAAGAATAGTTGACTGTCAGGCCCAGTAGCACATTCCCAAAGTCCTAGCACTTAAGATGCTAGGATAGTAGGACCATGGATTCAAGGCCATGCCTACGCACAAGAGGTACCGAGAAAGGAAATTATCACATCTTATTGTGTTAAGCAGGCTTTATGGGGCATAAGCACTTGAGACTTTCAAAGCAAATGAAGGATTTAACAGGAGACCAAAGGTGGAAAGAATTTCAAGGGGACAGGAAGAGAATGAGGACACAGTGGAATGTTACAGGCATCCTAGATCTTTGCACTCACATGCAGCATGACTGGAATGGCTTGCATCTGAATTGGCGTGGGCACTTGGAAGCCTGCATCTAGAATGTTCTGGAGTAATCGAGAACTGATTTTATATTCTTGGTCAAGCTGCTGAAATGTAGCAATTGGGTCAGGAAGATCAGTTCCTTGGACATGAATCTTGTGTTTGTTCCGAAAGAAGTTGATCTGTAAATTAGACAAAGGAGCCACCATGGATATGGCCAAACAGCAACAATCTTAGATGTTTTAAAACAGCAGCAATAGCTCTGGGATAAGCTATGGTGACACATGAAGCTTTCTGCTTAAATTCAAGCCCTAATCAACACAGACACTAAGTACATTTTGTGGTATTCACAGCCAGAAGACCCTCACAGATGATGGGACCCACCTGTCTGTGCTTTCAAATTGAAGTTAGAGGTGTGTCACACACTGAAATGTGCTTCTGTCACACTTGTAACTTACATGACTTTATAGAAATTTCTAGAAGGCAAGCGCTGAAATTATGTTTTCAATCTCAGCATACAAATGCCAGTGCTTTTTAGTATTTAAAAACAAAAACAAGGGGGCTAGAGAGATGGCTCAGAGGTTAAGGCACTGGCTGCTCTTCCACAGGTCCTGAGTTCAATTCCCACCAATCACATGGTGGCTCACAATCATCTAAAATGAGATCTGGTGCCCTCTTCTGGCCTGCAGGCATACATGCAGACAGAATACTGTATACATAGTAAATAAATAAACCTAAAAAAATAACAAAAAACAAACCAAAAAACAAGGAAAAACCAAGCCAATCAGCCCCTGCATTTTTAAAAATTGAGTGCCAAGTGTAGAGTTTAGAGGTAGTGACTGGGCAACTTCATTTTCTGGTCCACAGCCAGCCACATTTTGGCCTCTGGGTTACTGAAGCACAGCACAATAACCCTGAAGGAAGCACCCAATCTCCACTAGCAAAGTGAAAGGGCACAGGAGGCAACGGTGCCAGTCACTGCTTTGGTGTCCTATCCCCCACATGCCTGCAATCCTGACAGTGGGAGGCAGAGGCAGGAGAATCAGGAGATCCATGTGGGCCATTTGCCACCTTAACTCAAACAAATAAAAAACAAAACAAATTTCTGACCCTGTAATCCCTACAGGAGAAAATACTTTTAAACCAGTAAATTCAACACCAAAGAGAAAGGGATCCAGATTTTATGTGTATCAAAAGGAGTTTAAATACTAAAAAAATAATTTATATATATGAATGTTTTTGCCTGTATGTATGTATAAGCACCTTGTGTGCAAGAGATGCCTACAGAGGCAGGAACAGGGACCCACTGCAACTGGAGTTACAGTTGGTTGTGAGCTGCCATGTGGGCGTTGGGAGCCGAACCTGGGTCCTCTGAAAGAGTAACCACTGAGAAATCTCTCCAGTCAAAGAAACTTGAAAATTTTAATTCTACTCTTGAAACTTGAGGTCAAGAATTGTTATATACAAACACTACATATCTATAAACAACTGGAACTAAATTCTTTCTATCTGATCTATTTGTAATCACAACCAAACACTTCCAGCTCTGCACAGACGGCTACTGAAAATATTTTTCAAACCTTTTCCTTTCTGAGATGTTCCAACTTTTCTGAAGTTAGTTTCTTTTCTCCTTTGGTGTTTTTCTCTTCTTGAATCTTTGCTTCCACAGAGGACGTCCACTGTATAGTAGCATCAAACTCTTCTTGAGCAGTAATTTCTATATTTTTAGGATCAAAAGTTACCAAATGCAACTGTGTTAGGTGTGCCAGACTGGCTACACTTCCCACTAAACCAGAAAAAACATTAGCAGATCCAACTGGGGAAGGAATAATAGCTGTTAGTATTCAAGCATCTGTACTGGCCTGTCCTTTGGGTTCTGACAGGATACGCTCTCAGCTGCAGCCACTAAGCTCCTGCAGCCTCTAAGAGCACCACCTATGCACATTCACTATGTTCCCTTTTAAAGGGGCCTTGCCTACTTCCCATTCTCCTCTCTCTCTTCTCTCCCTCTTTCTCCCTGTCTGTTCCTCCCTCCCTCCCCACCCTCTCTCTGTGCCCCTCTTTTCCTCTCTGATGCTGCTCCTGTCCCCGGAGGTCAGTTTCCCCCCTTCCCCTTTTATGATCCCTTTCCCTACTTAAAACAAAACAAAAAACAACCCTCTGCTTGGACCCTGTCATAGGGTGTCTTTCTCCTCTGCACTGCTTTTCTTAAATTACAAAATAGTGCATGTAAGACTGGAAATGGGTGAGGTATACTGATGGTACAGTCAAAGTCTGAAGCTCTCCCTTCCTTTTGCTAGTTGTTTCAGCTGTGAACATCAGGACAACTGTATGCTTCAAACAAGAGATAAACTGAAAATTACACAAGTGATACGGCAGCCAGCTTCTGCTTACCAAAACACAAACCACAAAGTATTATGATGAAAGATTTCATGGGCAACAGCAATAAAACCATAATGCATAGGGCTTTCCAATATTATAAAGATAGCAATTCTCTCTGTATCTATAAAGCAGACATGATTGTTTTAAAGACCAGATTAGCTGTAATATTTGCATGGTAGAACCAACAGGTGAGAATAATCTAAAAAAAAAATTCTATGACTAGTGAGCAAAGATCTTTACTGAGTATTTTTTTTTTTTTAACAGAGTCCTCTTTAGCCCAGTCTGGTCTTGAACTTGCTATGTAGGTAAAACTCACCTTCCTCACCTGATCTTCCTACCTCCACCTCCTAAGTGATGAGATTATAGGCGAATACCACTATGCCTGGATTTTTTTTATTATTATTAAATGTATAGGGGTGTTTTATCTGTGTACCATGTGTCAAAAGAGGGCATCAGATTCCCCTGGAACTGAAGTTATGGGCAGTATAAGGTGCCTTGTACAAACTAGGAATTGAACCTGGGTCCTCTAAAAGAACAGTCAGTGCATTTAACTGTTAAGCCGTATCTCCAGCTCCTCTATGGAATTTTAAAAACACAAATTTTAACTTCATAGAGACATAACTGACATTCAATAAAACTGCATCTGTTTTAAAGTATATATTGGGGCTCAGAGGCAGTAGAGTTCTTATCTAGCTTGTATGTGGTCTTAGGTGGTCTCTAGTACACTACATAGGTGTGTGTGATACTATGCCCTGCCAGTCTATCTGTTGCTCTGCTTTTTGTTTTGGTTTTAGATTTAATGTCACAAGAATTAAAACAAGTGTTACTGGTATGAGAACACAGGAATATAAGTCAACTGAACAGAACAGAGTCCATAGACAGTCTTGAATAAAAGGGAGGAAATAAATTTACAATAGAAATTATATTTGAGCTGTGTCTGACAGTGCATGCCTATAATCCCAGCACAAGGGAGGGAGACAGAAGGATCTCAACTTTCGGGCCTGCTAGGCCAAAAAACAAACAAAAAGCTATGGAAAAAGAATGTAGCTCCCTGTTCACTCTTTCTGTCTGTCTGCCTTCCTTCTTTCATTTTTTTTTTTCAAAGAAAGGGTTTCACTATGTAGTCCTGTCTGACTTAGAACTTGATATGTAGATGAGGCTGGCCATGAACTCAGAGATCTGCCTGCCTCTGCTTCCCAAGCAGTATTTTCAGTAGGCATTGCAGGGAAGAATTACTTAAGAGAGAGTGAAGTGGGAGAAGGGAGAGAGAAAAGACTCCTGCAGACAGTGGTGCACATCTGTATTCAGCTTGTGGAGGAGAATCACTTGTGCCTAGCAGTCTAAGGTAAGCCTGGGTAACACAGACAGCAGTCCTAATAAGCCCTAGTCACCACTAATCCATGATGTTAACATTTCTAATTGAAAATAAATACACATATCATAGATCTATAGCCTGCATACATTTATTACTGAATGGTTACAGTACACATCTATGTATTTCTGATTGCTCAACATTTGAATCCTTTCTCTATATTTGTGGCATTTCTTTTTTAACAGTAGGCAAAGCTTTCACCATCTACCTTGAAGCTAGGGAAAGAGAAAACTCTTAGAATGTAATAGCAGAAAAATGGAAGTACTAGCCCTACAGAGTACAATGGCATACTACACTGTGCTAAAAAGAAGACACTCTGCTTCTGAGTGACACAATGTTTCTGGTAGATCATCCTACAATATCTAAATTTAAACTGACTCGCCCACTCTGCAATTCTAAGTATCTGTTGGACAGATACAGTCATACAAATGCACAAGATAAGTGCACTGACATTTTTGTAACACTACAAGAGCAAAAGTATGAAAATAAACTAAATGCCAGTCATAGATGACCTTGTAAAATCAATCTTAAAGGTTCAGCAGGTTAAGGTCCTAACCCTCAAGCCTGACAACATGAGCTTGATCCTCAGAATGCACACGAAAGAAGGAGAGACTAGACTCCTGCAGATGTCCTCTAACTTCCACATATACAGCATCATCATATGAACACACACAATACACACCCCATTTAAAAAATCAAACTTAAATCAATTGTGGAACATAATGGTATACTATACTGTATTAAAGAGAACACATCAGCCAGGCGTTGGTGACGCACGCCTTTAATCCCAGCACTTGGGAGGCAGAGGCAGGCGGATCTCTGTGAGTTCGAGGCCAGCCGGGTCAACAGAGTGAGTTCCAGGACAGCCTCCAAAGCCACAGAGAAACCTTGTCTCGAAAAACCAAAAAAAAAAAAAAAAAAAAAAAAAAGAGAACAAATCAGTGAACTGCCTATTGATCCAAACATCTCCAAGACACACACACACACACACACACACACACACACACACACACACACACACACACACACACACACACACAAGCCAGCAAGAGAGAAGGCAGTGGCAAAAAGATGGCCTTAAGTTAAGGTCATCTCGGTCTACATAGCCAGATCCAATGCAGACAGGACCATGCAAGACCGTCTCAAAAAACGGGGAGGAGGTAGGAGCAGAGAGGAGGGGAAAGGGTCATAAAAGAAAGCATATAAAGAATTTATATTTATTAAGTATATAAGCATATGAAAATAGCATGCCTTTGTTTTTTGAAGATAAGCATAAGTGAGTACAAATACAGTAGCTCTAGAAAAATATAATAAAACTAAGTAACAGGAGATAAAGATTGAAAAAGAAATATATTCAGCATCATTGTATAACTTATGTATTTATTTTGTAAAAAAAGGTAAATGGGTAGGAAACTTAATAGACATAAAACATAAAAGCTCTTACAATACATTTCTTATACAGGAGAAAAAAAGAGAGAAAAACTATGAAAAGGAAAAGCTGAAGTGAAGTATCCATAAAGCATAGAAAAAGATGTTCAAAGCAGATGTAGTGCCGTGGGTCTTTAATCCCAGCGCTAGAAGGCAGATGAAGGTAGATCTCTGTGAATTTGAGGACAGCCTAGTCTACACAGTGAGTTCCAAGACAGTCAGAGCTACGGAGAAACTGCCTCAAAATAAATAAACAATAAGTAGATATTCCACCTCAATTATGAAGAAAACACAAAATTTAAGGGGGGGGCTACAGCTCAGTGAGCAGAGTACTTGTCTAGTGTGCATGAAGCCCTAGGTTCAATCCCCTTCACAGCATAAAACCAGGTGATGGCATATATCTAAAAAAACAACGGCACTTGGGAGATGGAGGCACAATGAGCAAGTGTTCAGAAGGTTAAAGGGCAGCCTAGGGTACAGACCTGTCTCAAAATAGTACTAATATCTAAATTAAGTTTCACTAAGTAGATTGGCAACGAAAAAAATAAGACCAATAATAGTGCTAGGTCAGATGTGGTAGCTTATGCCTGTAATCCCAGCATTTAGTTAACCCGAGCACTTGGTTTATTGAAATATATTATTATTGGGGGTGGGGTCAGAGGAAAACATCGTGGAGTCAGTTCTATCCTTCTCCTTTTATGTGGGTTCTGGGGATCAAACCTCAGGTCACCAGGCTTTGGTGGCAATACCTTTTTTTACCTGCTGTCCTACCTCACTGGCCTGCAACCCCAGCACTTGAAAATCCTTGTCTCAAATCAAAAACCCGGGACTGGCTGGGCGTTGGTGGTGCACGCCTTTAATCCCAGCACTCGGGAGGCAGAGGCAGGCGAATCTCTGTGAGTTCGAGACCAGCCTGGACTACCAAGCGAGTTCCAGGACAGCCTCCAAAGCCACAGAGAAACCCTGTCTCGAAAAACCAAAAAAAAAAAAAAAAAAAAAAAAAACCGGGGACTGACAAAGGTGTGGAAGTCATTGTGTGGTATCTATTCAAAGGGAGTGTGCATACCGTTTCACAGAGTGCCTCCACTTTGGGATTATTAGCCTACAGAGAGAGCAACACCTGTACAAAAGGTTATGTGTGAGTATCATTGTGGTAGCAATTAATAGCCAGCACCTAGATATAATCCAAATGTCATCAACAGAGGAATGGGTATGTGTTATCTGATTTGCCAGCTTGCACTATTTCACAGCTGAAAAAAAAGTTAAACAGAAATACTAACCTGATGTCACCTTCTTTCTTTTTTTCTTCTTGGGCTCCTTACTCCTTTCCAACAGGCCCTCTTCTGTTTTCTCCTCATTTTGGAGCTCCTGGTGTGTTTGTAATGCTTCACACTCATCTGAGACAGACTTCTTGTTTCCGAAGAAGTCTAGCACCTCTGAAGAATCAGGATTGCATTTCCTTTTTCCTACCTAAAACCCCCAAAATTTCAAATGAGATCTAATGCCAGAATAGTGCTGTTTTCACCCAACCATGACTATCACCATGGAGGACATGAATTCAGCAATTCACCATTTTAACCCTTTCAACCAGGAATCTGTTGTGTTGTGAGTTTAGGCAAATAGAATACAAACACACACACACCTCCCTCCCTCTCTCTGACCTCCTTACACTAACAGCAATGACTACTTATAAACATTTTGAAAGGGGGTAAACTAAGCTCAAGGGCTTCACTTCTAATAATTTAGAAATAAAGGAATCAGACCCTCACTCAGCCCCCTGCTTTAGTAGCCATGACAGGCTACAGAAAAGACACAAGGAAACTCCAGATCCTCTGGCCTCCCGGAGTCTAGGACCAAAACTGAACACAGAGAAACTCCAGACCCCCCAGCAATCTAGATACTTGGTTCCTGGGAACTGTTTGGCCACAAAAGATGATTTTGATTGTTCCCAAATGTCAACCAATCAGAAACCAACCCGTACCTACTGATGTAATCCTGTAACTTTTGTCTTTAAAATCTAGCAGTAGACAGGGAACTTCTCTCCCTCTGGAGGCTGCTGTGTCAGCTTGCCAGAAGGGGTCCCTGTCATGGTTGGATGAACAATCATTAAAACCTTACTTTTGCAATTTGGTGGGTCTTCCTGGTGGTCTCTGGGGACTTTGCGACTTGGGTACAACAATTTACTACATGTCAAGCATGTTTATTAGATATTAAATTACTTCATTCTCACATCAACAATTTAACAACAGCACTGCAATCAGGACGAAGAAACACAGACATCGCCCCTCACAAAGGTTCTGTTCTCTGACAGTAAGGTTTATGATCAAACTGTTCGCAAAGGAGCTCACGCTGACTTCCCTTCATGCTCACTACTCTAAGACACTCCCCTCACCGCATTTCAACACCACTCTTCTGGTTGGTTGTAACGCTGAAAAGAACCATGCCAGTAAATCACAGCTATCTGCACACTGAAGTCAAACCTGGGTAGGCTACCGTGAAAGACTGTTTCCCAAATTCCTTTCCTCTGGGTTCCGAGAAGAGGCCTTTGAAAGGATTCTAACTTTGAAAGTAAAGCAAGGAGCCGGGAAACAAAAGTGTCCGTGCCAGGCTCAACTGAGTCGACCTGGGCTCCGGAGACGGTCGTTCAGAAGTCCGGGGTAGGTCTGAGGTCAAGCGGAACCCTAAAGAGGGGAAATGCCCTGGGGGTGGTCGGAGCCAGGCCTCCGGAATCCAGCGTGCCCGCTGCCCCGCTGCCAGCAGTCTTTCTACGGACCCCTCCCCTTCCCGGGTACTCGGCTCCCCGTGTACCGAAAGCACCTGGAATCGAACAGCGTCTGCCGAGAACCGCTTCACGTCGAACTTGGCGCCAGCTCCGAGCCGGCGAAACAGATCATAGGCATCCATCTTTACCCAGAAACCCCGCAGCCTCACAGCGCCTGTGTATACGACTTCCGCTCCGCGACTGCTTCCGGAGAGGCCGTAGGCGGAAGTAGCTCCAGGAGGCGGAGCCTGTGTGTGACCTGCGTGGTGGAAATCTGAGCTGTAGATTCGTTCACAAAATAGACGCTTCTTGTGCGAAGGAGCGTTCTAGGCTTGTATGGATAGTGTTTTGAGCCGCACGCCAAGATTCTGCACTTACGGTTACCGTCTAGCGGGGACGAGATACACTTAACCAGACACTGTAACTTAGGAAAATGAAAAGTGCTGTGAAGCAAATGTAAAGGTTTGATGGATAGAGAAGGGGTAGAGGCTACTTTTAGTTAGATTGGACGGTTCAATCAAGTGAGAAGGGGCTACTTTTCCAAGACATGGGAACAGCATTCCAGATTAGAGGAAACCATTCTGAAGAAAGGAAAGGGTCTGAGACATTGTTAGAACAGAAGCCAGGTGCTGAGTTGCTCTCCAGTACCACACAAAGAAGGAAAGAGAAAAAGGAAAGGAAAGAGGGGATGAGGAAGGAAGAAAAGAAGTTTGGAGTGGCTGGAGCTAAGCTTACAGGGTTACAGATGGAGTGGCAAACAAACCCGATCTCAAAACCTTGGAAGTACTTGGATTTTAGTTTTTGTTTTTGTTTTTTGTTTTGGTTTTTCGAGACAGGGTTTCTCTGTGGCTTTGGAGGCTGTCCTGGAACTTGCTCTGTAGACCAGGCTGGTCTCGAACTCACAGAGATCTGCCTGCCTCTGCCTCCCGAGTGCTGGGATTAAAGGCGTGCGCCACCAACGCCCGGCAAGTACTTGGATTTTAATATAGACATGCTACAAAACTAAAAATATTTATGCAAAGGGCAACTATCTTAGTTTATCACATTTTAAGTTTCATCCTCACTGTGTTTGAAATACACAATTTTTTTTTTAGCTTTGTAGTGTTTCTCTCCTGGAATGAAAGTCCATGAAGATCTACTTTGCTTTACTGTTGAATCCCGGGTTCTGTATGCTCTCAATACTTGGTGAATGAATGTGTGAAAGTGTCATACATGATTACTCTAGTTATTTGAAGAAAGGACACAGAATGGATAAGAGTGGAAATGGAGACTAAAGTAGCAATGGTGTTGCCTTTGTCTGGGTTGATATCTGTGCAAGTGTGGATAGATCGATTTGGCATATAGTTTGGAGGTAGAGCTTAATGTACCTGGGATGAGGAAAAAGAATAAAAAAGAGCTAAGTACTAGGGTTTGCGCTGGGTTGATGGCATGTCATTTACTGAACTAAGAATAAAGGAAGAACAGCCTTTTTGGTGGGAGGCATAAAACATGGAATTGTTATGTTGTATAGATATGAAGATTTTTAGTTGACTAAGTGAAGCCATCCATGTAGGTACTTGAACCTAAGAGTCTGAAGTTCAGGAATGAAGGTGAAGGCTGTAGAAACAAAATTGGGAGCCATTAACATATAAATAGTACAGAACATATACTCAAGGTTCATATATCTATATCAATTATAGAGATAAATATATGTTACATATGTAACACATATGGCAGGACAGAGAGAAAAATAAGTTCTGGTGAGACTCATACTCAAATAGAACGGGTGTGGAGTGACCATGAGATGAGACTGGAGTTTTTTCTCCTTCTTATGGCTTACAGTGGGGACATTTAATGTTTTAAGTATATTTACTCCCAGAAAATAGAACTTTGAGGGGACTAGGGAGACAGCCGAACAGGCAAAGACACTAACTCTGCAAATTTAATGATTATGCTTTGATCCTGGGAACTCACGTAAAAGACCAGATAAAGCAAGGGCCGGTTATAGTTTCTCCCCCTCCAGTTATAGCCACCCAGTATTGATGGTTCACTAAAGAAATAACCTCCCAGGAGCCGTGAGGAAAGTCCTGTGGATGGCCTTGCTTGCTAGGAAATGTTGAACATTGTACCAACGACTCAGCTCATGTCCATCCTTTCAGAGATTAGAGTTGTATTGCTCGTTAAATGTGTGCTATAGGTCAAATCCATTACTTTAAAAGTATGGGCTTGGAGTTCAGTCTGAATCTCACAGAGATCCGTGTGCCTCTGCCTTCTGAGTGCTGGGGTCAAAAGCATGCAGCACCATGCCTGGCCCATGTTCCTCCATTTTAGCTCCTTTCTTACTGCCCTGCATTTTTATCTCTATATTTGCCCACAGTCTTTGCAGTTCCTGAAGCTGAGACCATGTGTCATGCCTCTTTTTTTATTTTTTATTTTATTTTATTTTTTTGGTTTTTCGAGACAGGGTTTCTCTGTGGCTTTGGAGGCTGTCCTGGAACTCGCTCAGTAGACCAGGCTGGCCTCGAACTCACAGAGATCCGCCTGCCTCGGCCTCCTGAGTGCTGGGATTAAAGGCGTGCGCCACCAACGCCCGGCGTCATGCCTCTTTTTAATACATTTGCTGAGCATGTAGTCTGGTTCACATTAAGTTGTCAATAAATTTGTGTGTGTGTGTGCATGCGCGCATGCACGCTCGAGTGTTATACTCTGTGTGTGTTGCAGTGTGTCTGTGTGGTCTGCGTCCAGGTTTGCATGGGTGTATGTATGTATGTATTCATGCATGCATGTGGGTACACATGAATGTATGTGGCCAGAGGCAGATATCACCTCTATTTTTATTAATTTTAGTTAGATTAAGTTTGTGTGTATATATGCACGTACTATAGCAGATGTGTGGATGTTACAAGATAACTTGCAGGAGTTGGTGTTTTCTTTCCACCTTGTAGACACCAGGACTCAAACTCAGGACTTTAGACTTGGCAGCAACTACTTTTATTTGCTGAGCCACCTTTCTGGCCCTCCACATCCTTTTTTTAGATTTTTTATTTTGTTTGTTTTGCTAGCATGTATTTATGGGTACCACATGTGTGCCTGGTTCCCCTGAGGTCAGAAGAAGGCACTGAATCCCCTGAAACTGGAGTTATAAGTGGTTGTGAGCCACTATGTGGATATTGGGAACTGAACCTGGATCCTCCATAAGGGCAGTAAATGCTTTTAACTACTAAGCCATCTTTCAAAACCCCACATTTATTTATTAAACAAGGTCTCTTGTTAAACTTGAAGCCCATCCAATTGGCTAGGCTTACTGGCCAATGAGCTTCCAGAATCCATCTGTCTCCAAAACCATCTCCCACCTCTGCAGTGCTAGGGCTATGGGCACATGCCACCGTACCTGGCTTTGTGTGTGGGTTCTTTGATTCTGAACTCCGGTCCTCATGCTTGCATGGTTAGTCAGTTGCAAACTGAGCCACCTTCTGAGCCCAGCAAATCTTACTGAGCTAAGGAAATGGGATAAAACACACAACAATCTCTATGAACTTAGCAGTGAACCTATTTCTTTAGGCTGGTGCTTTGGATTAATAGATTTTGGCAGACTGAAGAATGAAGTCAAAAGGAAGCAGACTTACAACACTGCCTGCCTCAACAATATCCAGCTGACTCATTAAGAGAGCACTTCCCCTTGGGGAAAAACAAAACAAAACTATTTGAAAGTATCGTCAATCAAAGTGGAGAGGAAATTGAATCATGGGCTCTGTATAACTGGAATTTCTCCAAAAACTAGTGTGGTGCGATTGTTGGACACACATGGCTTCTCAACTGTAGCCAGTGAACACAAAGTCTGTGCAACACCAAGGTGGCAGCTGCTTGGGACAGTTTGTTGTTATGAACAGAGTGACCACTCCATGGCCTGAAGGTGTGTTTTGTAATTTTTTCCTCTTATACTCCCTGCTTATCATTCAACCAACTTCAGCATGAGTGTTGTTTTTACTGTGGCTGCCTTAGACCACAGCCTCTGCATGCAAAGATGAATTAGACCGTCTTTGTTCTCAAGGAGTAGAGTCTTCTAGGGATGCAGAGCTCAAAGTAAGAAAATGTTCTAAGACCAGCAGTAGAAGACATAGGGAGTGAAGGAGTTGTCGTTGGGAGTTGTGGGGTGATGGCATGGGCATTGTAGAACATTAGGATAGGTTTTGTAAAGAAGATTAATTTGACACAGCAGGTCGGGGATATATCTCAGTTGGTAAAGTGGTTGCCCTAGGTTAAGTTCCCATTAACTAGGAAACTAGGCATGGTGGCACATGCCTATAATCCCAGAACATGAGAAATAGAGGCAGAAGGGTCAGAAGTTCAAGGTCATTGAGCTGGTGAGATGGTTCAGCATGTCAAGGCACTTGTTGCCAAACCTGATGATCTCAGTTCATTCCCAAGAACCCACATGGTGAAAGAAGAGAACAGAGTCCCACAAGTTGTCCTCTGACCTCCACATGCTTGCTGTGGCATGTACACATTCACAATAAATACATTTCTAAAAACTAAATTCAAGGTCACCCTTGGCTATATATCCAGTTGAAGACTAGCCTGGACACTACATGAAATACTATCTTTAAAAAATGTTCTCCAAAAGACGCAGTGGGTAAAGGTGTAATGCAGCAAGCAGCTGCTATGAATGTCCATAGTCGTTCAAACAGCCTGGTGTGTTTGAGGCCTATTAACGGTTCCAAAAGCTGAAAGAGCCCTATGCACCCTTGGAGGTACTGAAAGCCATCCGAGGGTGTTGAGCCAATGACAGAAACACTTCGAAATTTTAAGATCACAGCGATGCAAAAAGGAGGCAACTCCAGAATCAGGGAAACTAAAGATGAACCCCAAGGAAAGGAGGGCATTCAAAGCACGTTAATACCAAGTGTGGCAGCTCATGCCTGTAATCCCAGCACTCAGGATGCTAAGGCAGGAGGACCGCTGTGAGTTCACAGCCAGCTTAAGTTGTAGAGTGAGACCTCAGCACTTGTATGGAAGTCATAGGGCAACTTTGTCGTCAGTCTTTGCCTTCCATGCTGTTTGAGACAGGGTTTCTTTGCTGGCTTGGGAGCTTCTAGAGATTCTCCTGTCTCCACCCCCTATGTCAGCAGAGTGCACTGGCATTAGAGATCCACGCTACCACAGCAGGCTTGATGTGAGCTCTGGGGATTTCAATGAAGGTCCTCGTGCTTGCAGGGCA